CTGTGGACGCTCATGACGCAGCAGTTCGTGGGGCTGACGCTGTTCTCGACGTTTGCGAGCTACTTCTTCAAGCAGGCTGGCATCAAGGATCCGTTCCAGGCCACATGCATCACGTCCGGGATCAACATCGTGAGCGGGCTTGTGTTTATACTGATTGCGGACAAGGTTGGGCGGAGATGGATCTCGTGCAGCGGGTCGACGCTATCGTGGGCTGCGTGCATGGCTATTGGGATTCTCGGGGTTGTGCCGAGACGGGGGCCGACTTTTGTCTTGTTGGTCTTCTTTGCGTGTCTGTGGAGTAAGTGGTCACTTGGCCTCTGAACAGATGAATGCTGATAATGTTGGACTAGATATCGGGATGACTGCGAATGGAGCCACCGGCTGGGGCTTCATCGGCGAGATCTCTTCGCAAAGGCTTCGGCCTTACACAGCTGGATTCGGAGCTGCCTCGACGTGTGTTGCGGGTGTTGTCATGAACGTGCTGACCCCGTACATGGTGGACGGAAACCAGTGGAATTGGGAGCTGAAGACAGCCTGGTTCTACACCGGCGTAGGACTTCCGTTCGTGGTGGCCATGTGGTTCCTGATTCCCGAGACCAAGGGGTATGTCTTCCCATCGGAATCATTTACAAACATACTGACGATATCACAACAGGCGCTCCGCTGCGGAGCTGGACGAATTATTCGAGCGCGGCATCAAGCCTTGGAGATTCCATAAGACACTTACGGCGACGGAGCGTCTTGTCAATGCAAGTCACGATCAAGAGGTTGTCACGTCAGAGAAGAGGGATCATTGATATTGTATGTATATTCAACCTTGAGGCTGTTATTGTGTTATAATATTGCCCCAAGTCATGGGAAACCCTTCTCGGGTCAAAACCCGTGCCTTGTTTGCAGGCAATTCCTAGCACCGCTCAGCAGCGCTTTCTCTATGTGCCTGTTCAGAAGTATGTACGAAGCGATCAAAATGTGTAAGCATCGAAAGCAAACAAGTAGAACCGCAGCGCTTCCTCCCTTCTTTCCCTTCCCTTCTTCCTTCCCTATCATTCCCTTCCTTTCCTTCCCTATCATTCCCCTCCCTTTCCTACAGTCTTTGACTGCACCACGATGTAAATGAAATAAAATGACAGACCACGCAGCACAATGTTTTTTTTTGTTTTGTTTTTGTGTTTTTGGTTGGTAAACAGGTAATTCAAAGGCAATCGCTAAACTCAGTCGCTAGGTGTTGTTCAAAAGTGGCGTTAAGCCGATAGTGTGACTCTAGTCGTCACGGTGAGTGGAGTCCTAAGAGTCCTTCCTGTCGAGTGCTGCGTAGTCTTGTCGTAACACAAGAAACGTCTTGTTCGACGCTTGAGATGGCATTGTCGCCAATGATGTTTATGCTGAAGGCGATCCTGGTAACGCCGCGGCCTTGGTTAGGCAGGCGACGCGTTCTAGGATGAGTGGCACATCGGTCTACCATGAGGTTTGTGTTGTTGTTATAAGTGATCCGAGTAGCGCAACGGCCTTGATGAGGCGGCGGGGCATTCAAGGATGAGGTGGCGACTGTAGTGTTGGTCTACTACATTATTTGTGTTGCTATGAGCGATCCTGGTAGCGTCCCGACCTTTTGAGGCAGGCGACGCATTCTAGGATGAGGTGGCGCGGGACACTGGTCTACCATGAGTTTTGTGTTGTAGTTGTTGTTGTGAGTAATCCTGGTAGCGACACGACCTTGTTAAGGTAGGCGACGCATTCTAGGATGAGATGGGACATTGGTCTATCGCGCGAGTTGTGGTGTTGGAGGCTATCCTGGGAGTGTGACAGCCTTGATGTGGCGGCAACGCACTCTAGGATGAGGTGGTGACTGTAGCGTTGGTCTACCACGAGTGTGTTGTTTGAAGCGATCGTGGGAGCACAAAAGCCTTGCGTTTGTTTGAGAGGAGCTCTACCGACAGGATGTGTTTAGGCGGCAACGCATTCCAAGATCAAAGTGATCCCGGTAGTGTTACGACCTGGTGTGGTTGTTATCCTGCCGGTATAGTAGGCTGCTGGATGTTCCAGGCTGGTGGCTCCGCAAGTGCGAGGTAGTCGCCATTTGTCGGTCTGAGGAAACCTGATCGCTGAAGCGCCGCTGGCGGCATGTAAGTCGTTGGAAAGACCCCTTGTAGAACCATGTCCTCCATAACTGACTGGAAGGACGCTGGTACTGTCCAACGACTTGGTGTGAAGGAGAGCGGCTGCCAGGGAAGTATTCGAAGAGTGCATGTCCTAAAACGTAGTTGGTGTCCGAGGTGTCCGAAGAGGTGTTGGGTTTTTCTTCTTTTTTTTCTTGTTCGGGTGGGATGCAGGAACGGCATTATCGTCAATGCCGGTCCAGTCCTCTCCAGAGTTGGACTCGCGCTCTTTGGCAGGGAACTCAGCCGACTTAGCAGGTTTGGTGCCGCTGCTTCTTTCAGGTCTATGCGTAGACCATGGCACCGGCCTGGGGCATCAGTCCAGGAGGGTATGTTAGCCCATGAGTCTGCATGGGGGGCTGCTGATAGTAGGCCTGAGGCCATGTCAGACTCATTGCCGCCCGGTATGCGGTAAACAAGTCCAAACCAGGCGGCGTGGGCGGTGTGAAGGAGCTTGGGTGTCCTGAGTTAATTGGTGTCAGGACGGAGGAAGGAACCCACAGCCCATGTTCATTGTAAGACCCTATCATGGGCCCCTGAGAGAACGGTGGTGCGGGCTGAGGACTAGGCGAACGACTTGGCGGAAGGGACCGGTCATTGAAGGAGCGGAGTTCGTGGTCGTCAACGGTGACCCTGTACTCCTTCATCTTGTCAGGCATCTCAGTCGGGACGGCCCCCTTTCTTGTCGAGCAGCGGCGGACTGCTTTGGCGAGCTGGTCTGCCCTCTCGTTGCCTTCAACGCCCACATGGCCCGGACACCATCGGACTGCGGTTCTGATACCCTTGGCCTCTAATTTGGCGGATGCCGCAACGGCTCTTTGGACCAAGGGATCATCGTCCGACGCGTCGGCCCTCATGAGTGAACGGATCGCATCCTTGCAATCCGTGAAGATGTTCACTTGTCGAAGGTCGGGGACCGCGCGGGACAGGTAGAGGGCGGTCTCGAGCCCGAGAGCTAAGGCGTACAGCTCTGCCACCAGGAAGTCGGGGCACTTGATGAGCCTGTACGTGCCGGCTGTCCAGTCGGGGCTGAGACCGGGGCGGGGTTGCCAAGTAACGGTGGCTCCCGCGGGGTTGTCCAGTGTTGAGTGACCGCTGGGACCACTTCCCCACGACTCTTTGCCAGGAAAAGAGGCATCCGTGAAGAGATTGAGAGCGCGGGGTGTGGGCTGGTCGTGTTCAGGAATGGCTGCCATGGCCCGCTCACGAGGCTCAACCCAAAGATCGCCGTGGAAGCGGGTGGGCGTAGGCTTGCATCGAATAGGCACGCCACAGTCGAATTGAACATAGAAACGGGGGCTTCTGGAGGCCACCTCCCGCTTCTGCTGAGAAGACTCTCGAGATACTTCGCTAGAGGTCATACTGACCACTTCGAGACAAACAGGGTAAAAACGGTGTATGTATGTGAAGGAGGTTGTGTATGGCGAGAGATGTGTGTAACGAAAGTTGTATCTGGTGAGAGTTGTGTGTAACGAGAATTGTATCTGCTGGAAGCGAAATAGAAATCAAGCTACGATGAAGAGAGAAGGAGAGATTTCAGGAGGACCAGACCATGAGAGAGATTGGGGTTTTATAGGGATTCATCGAAGGAATCGTGAGATTCAGGGACCGGAGAGGTCTTTCAAACATAGACCACCTTTTCAGGAACCCGTAACCTTGTTTTCAGGCACAGAAAAGTCTGTCTTCAAGCATCAATTGCCAGAGACATCTTTTCAGGAACCGGCATCTTTCATGCTAGGTACCCGTAACCCTGATTTCAGGTACAGAAAAGTCTAAATTTGTGACCTGGTAGGTCGATGGCCAAAGAGGTGCAAATTCATGCCTCCGGGGGAAGGAAGGATTAAAGGCGGTACGAGGAAACGAACGCCTGTTTAGTTGGTCGGATCCTGAGCGAGCGAGAAACAACAAAAAAGGCATTTAGTGATATTCCTCGTCATCGTTACTTTCATTGAGATTTTGGCGGGCCATGAGGACTTGTCAGTGTGTCAGTCTTGATAATGTTAGATGCCTACACTATCAAGGGGGACTCGTCTACCAAAGAGAATTTCTGGTAGGATATTTGGTGTACCAAGAGACCACCACTTTTACTGCTCTTAATGGACTACCTTTCCGGTGGACTCTAATACTACCGTCCTCCTCCTTGCCACCGTTGTCGTCCTTGCTCGTTGTAGTTGGCATCGCAATCGTCCCTGCTATGTTCTTCGTTCAAAATTAGCTTTTTGTTCGAAAATGGTGTGACTGGACATATATCTACCCTCCTGACTTGATCAACTGTGGATAATGCGGTTGTTTCTCACGAGAGAGATAAAAGGTGTCTTCCCAGAGAGGTTGGACCCGTAAATAACGTCATAGGAACACAATTCTTCCTTCAAACCCGAAGTCTTACTTTGTTTTGTCAAGAAATTTGCTCGATAGAGTCGTATTACAGTCGCAGAGTGTCAATGTGCTATGCAAGCCCGCAGACAGTTCGCAACCGGCTCATGTTAACTCACTTACACGCTGGCGAATGAAGACGCCGGCTCCCCTGGCACCGTTGGTCTGGTATCCAGGTACCCTCGAGCTAAACTCTATTCGGACTGCAGCCACCCCCGCACATTCCCAGTTAGGCAACCAGGCTTACCCCAGGCACTTCAGCATTTGACAACACCCCTCCGAGTCCACATCGAACCTGTCCTTGATGGCGCCAAAAGAAAACCCGGGACCGGAATCTTACAAATCGAGCAGTACCTGTCGAGATACAGTGACTCTTTAATCTATGAAAGTTCAACCCTGAGCCTTTCAACCAGCAGCTACACGAACATTCCATAGAGTCATCCCCTACTGCTCAAGGTGATCCATCACACGATGTCAGACCCCAGATCTCAGGGTACACAACCCGGCCTGTCGCTGCGGTTCATCGACCAGGCTCACAACGAGACGAAAAAGATGAGGGCGCACAAGAAGAGCCGAGGCGGCTGTGGCGCCTGCAAGAAGAGGAAAGTCAAGGTGCGTTCCCTCCTGGTGCTTTACGAACCCGTCAGGCTTCTGACAAACCCCCAGTGCGACGAGCAAACACCTTGCTCGAACTGCATCAGACGGAACGAAATATGCGACCCACCCCACAAGTCCTCCGCTTCCCCTGAAAAGGACGCCTCACCCGCATCCTCCCGACCGCCAGACCTCTCTGGGCCGGTAAACCTTATCCACCTGGAGCTCTTCCATCACTTCCAGCACGTTACGGTTCCTACTCTCTGCTTCTCTGAAGTATGGGGCCCAGCGACGTCGCTCGCTTTCAAGGTGAATATTCCTTGCTTCCTTTGAGGAGCAGGAACAGTTAACTCATGGGAATGGCAGGAAGAGTACCTGATGACCGCCATGCTGGCCACCTCGGCGCGACACCTTAGCGTCCTGCGCCCAGATGAGTCAGTGTACGATGAAGCTGCCCTGGCACTCCTCTCTCGCAGCTGTGCTGGCTTTAGTGCCGCCCTCAACCAGGACGACGGCCGTGAGAAGCACAACCCGCTGTTCTTCACGGCCATGTTGATCCACTACCTCACGTGGTGCAACTTGGATTTCCTAGAAGACGAGGGGAAGCCAGCTGACGGCCGTCGATTGGACCTCAAGGGTGACCAGCTATTCCTTCTTAGCTCCGGTGTGAGGGTATTCCTGTCCAGCACAAGGGCCCAAGGTCCAGACAGCATTTTCGCAAACATGTCGTCGATATCTCAATGCAGTGCTCTGGAAGATATCGTAGCGAGCCAGGGTATGGACTGTGAAAGCATAGTAGCAGATTTCATGACAAGGTATGACGAAACATCAACTACTCAAACAGAGCTCTCCACCCAGACGACAAAAGAGCGCGAGGCATACCACGCCATCGTCACGCGTCTCTCCGTTATCCTCGCGCTCTGGAGGCACAGAGAGACCAACTCGTCGCCACCGCAAAGAGCCGATCTTGAGCGGTACATCCTCTCGTTCCCGCTGTTTTGCGTCGGCACCTTTCTAGAAATGGTTGCCAGCAGTGACACGAGGGCACTGCTGGTGTTGTACCACTTTTATCGAACTTCAAGGCTGCTGCTGGGATCCATGGAGTCTTGGTGGGCGTCGAGGAGGCTGAATATCATGGAGAGTTTAACTAAGCAAGAGTTGGAACGACGACATACATCTGTCGCTGTTGGCGACTTCCAATGACGGCAATGGATACTTCTCAGGAGGACAAACGCATCGACAATGTGAATAATACGAGGTTTCTTATTTTCTGGGTATCAGTTCTAATTCGACATAAATGAATGTAAACTCCAAGGCTTGCTGGCTGTGATAAGCGACGGCCCAATGCTTCTCTCGAAGCCGACTATTTCGGCTGATTCCTGCTCCACAATGCTTTCGTGATCAGTGCCGGGGCTCCCAAGCCGAGCTCATACGGCAACCTCGTCCGTTGCTCCCTGTCTGACGAGTTCGTCGGCAAATACGGGGGCGGCGGGGACGCACTCCTCACAGACGACGCCACGGATGAGACAGGGGATACTGGCGAAGCGAGCCCTCCCCCCTGAAGGTAGGAGCTCAAGTCAGCGGCCGACATCCCGGGTACGCCGCCCGGGTAAGTTCCGTCAGGGACCTGGCGAGCTTGCGGCGGCACGGCCGGCATATCCACGGACGAGTCTGAACTGACTGAGCTGGCCGGCGATGAGGGCCTGATTATCTCGTACTGCTGCGCCGAAGATGCACTTCGGATCAGACGGTTGGACGATGTCATGGCCGCCATCTCGAGATCGTCGTCCATCATGATGCCCGGCCCAGGGACGACTCCGACTAAGCCATCGATTTCGTTAAACTTATGCATATCGTCCTTATCAAAACGGCCCATAGGAGGGAGATTGACAGAGTCTTTCAGCTGCGAGCCTACTCTGAACATCGCAAACGAGTCGAGTGTGTTTGTCCATGTCGGTAGGGTGCAGATGTACCACACGAGCAGGGCAAGACAGATCGCTTGGAGGGCAATGAGCGCGCTGAGCATGACTGTCGCCCCGAGACTGTATTTTGGTGCAACGAAAGCCGTGCCAGTGAGGTTGTAGATCGTTCTTGCCGCATCGTTCAAAGCTGCATCCTGCAGGACGGCAGCATTGGACAGGTACATGCCGACCCCGAGAGTGCTTTGAGCCACAGTCAAGTGACGCAGACCCTGTGCGGTCCTGAATAGCGACTTGGGAAGCTTCTTCAGCGTGCATCCGTTATAGATGGAAGGGTACCATGTGTCGAATTCGTCGTTTTTGGAGTTGTAAGGCATTTGCCAGCCATGAAGAGGTGCGGGCAAGGCGCAACCCTTCTTCGTTGCATCGCGGACCGAGTCATCAGTTAAAGTGAGGTTGCCGGGCATTTTGCCATCGGGAAATGTTTGGCTGAGGAAGGCGAGTACGGCTTGCGGGTACGATTCGGCGCCGAAGAGGGCCTCTACAGTTGTCCTCAGCGGGCCCTGAGACGAAGTCCATCCCCCGAATACGTCGCGATCCCATTCTTGATCCGACCTGCAGGGTGTTAGTATCAGGCTCAAATTTTTGGCATGTTTGAACTCACTCGCTAGTGATGAGGTTGCCCGCCCAGTCGTAATCGTGGTACTGGGCCTTCATCACCTCATCCGAGGGCCACTCATCGATAATGCCTGACTGATTGAGGTTGGTGTAGAAGTTACCAAGCTCGAAGAATGCACGGGTTGTTCTGGCCGTGCATTTCAGGGTGACATTCTCCGCTGGGTCTGAAACGAAATCAGAGGCCTGCGATGCCTCAGGGCTGATTTGCGCATCGATGAACACGACTTCATCAATGTCTTGACGTCGACGCGGGGGAAGCAGCGCTCGCTCAACTTCGGGGTTCTTGGAGTCATCAGGCATGCAGACCTTGATGGTGACGCCGAATCCTTCAAGAGTGGTTGAGTAGCCGACACAATCCGCAGGAAAGTCTTCACGAGTCGCAACTTGGCAGTCGGCAGTTGAGTTGAGTCTCATCGAGTGTTGCCGGAGCGGTCCCGTTGTCGTTCCTGCGGGCACAGACGAAACCCAGAAAGCGTCGTTGTACTTGTGGTCTGACCCAGTCACAAAGCTTCTGTCAGTGTTTCCGTCGCGCCACAGATTCTCCTGGACGTCAGCTGACGTGATGCTGGCCAGCTTGGATCTCACTGGACTGATGATGTTGGGGAAATCGGTGGAAACCCTCAGCAAAGCCGGCTCAGGCTCCATGCCGACCCTTTCTGCCCGATACCTTGCACCATCGCACGTGCGATCCCATTTTGTCAAATGTCGAGAGCTGTCGCATGGGTAAACCACACGAGCGGACATCGGCATCAGCAGTGATTGAAGAGGCAACTGTGCCGCAACTTGGATCTGGTCAGCCAATTGATCACAAGCAGTCGCCAAAAAGCTTACCCAGCAGAAGCAATGCCGTAGCCATCATCAGGTAAGACGATGTCTGTCCTTTTGAGAAAACCGCCGTCCATTGGATGTCGGAAAGAGCAAACAGCTGTCGGAGGCTGAGGGCTTGCCGATGGGATCGTCGTTGAGAGAACACCACTGCACCGTGAGCCAGAAGAGCCGCAACGCATGGCAGCGCAATGACAGCCGTCACTGCACTCAGGAACGGCGCCACGCGCATCCATCGGCTGTACTTGTCGAAATCATCCCGCATGAGGATGCCCCAAGGATCGGACGTTGTTCGCTGATTGACGACACAGATGCAAATCCAGGGTCCAAGTAGGAGAAGTAAGTATACAATTAGAATGTAAATTGGTCGTCGTGCATGTTGAAGAGGTTGGCGAGACATTGCGAATGACTTGAAAGTCGTGTACTTTGGCGGTGGTCGCTCACTGGATGTTGTGTTTCTGTCCATAATGATCGTCCCAGACTCTCCCGCAGAATGTTTTGGAGAACGGTAAGATCGATGGCGGAAGGAACAGAAAGACAAAGTGCGCGAAGGAAGAAGACAATGGTATTATGGCTGCATCGCACAGATTGCTGGCGGCCTGTTTGGCGTTCTTTTTTAGCTTGCGACGAGGCGTCGGCCGGCCGCAAAGTGTGGTGCTGACCGCAGCTGACCGCAGGGCGAGGACTGTGCAATTTCCGTGCGAGCCCAGAAGAATGGGAGGAGGAGTGAGGGAATGTATAGAAGGGTGGGCGCACAGCATCCTGCATCCTTCGGAGGGAGAATGTGCCACGAATGTCTTGTCTCGAAGACCAGTTATTGCGGCCGAAACGAGCCGAAGTGGGAATTATTCCTTCCTGGGTTGACTTGGCCGGGTCTCAATAGCCTATCCTGCATATTCCACTGCAGCGGTATAAATCCGTCCAGGCAACCCTTTGTAATTCATGCGTTTCTTTGTAGTTGTAGATAGCCCGTTATCCCTCACTCTCCATTGTTGGAAGGATAGGAATCCAGGCCGTAGGTTTCGTTAAGGGAGACACGTGTGATGACTTGATCGTCCTCCATGCGTACCCAGGTCTCGACCGACATCTGCGGGTTATCGCCCTGGGAAAACAGCAGTCTCAGCATCCGAGCGCCGCGGTTCCATTCACCGTATCCTCCATAGCCTGTGTGCTTTGCAAAGCAGAGGAATGGAGCTTCGGCGCCGAGTCCGCCTTCGTGGCCGGGCCAAGTGGAGCACCAGGAGTCGCCGTGGTCGTGACCGACGTGGATGCTGTGGAGGCCCTCGGCCTCGAGCAACGCCTCGATGAACGGGTCGTCCTCTTGGCCCTGGCCCTGAATGGCCAACGGGGAGTCGACATTCAAGCCCGGAAACTTGCTTGGGTCTAGATTTGACTTTTGGGCGTCGAGGAAAACGTGGGGCGGGATGTGCACGAAGGCCACGCTAGGGATGACACGGCCGTGCTTTTCCTTCAGCTCGTCGTAGGTCGTGGTGAACCACTCGGCCGTCTCAGGTGCGACCCAATTGGGAATATCGTCCATATTGTCGGAGTCGGTCTGGTAGGTAGTGCCGCCGCGGCTATCGAAGAACCACAGTAGAGCAATGGGGTCCTTGGCGTCGCCGTCGAAGATGGGCAAATAGTAGTTGGTGATGCCGGGGAGCTTGTCGCCCATGGAGGTGGTGTAGCAGAGGTCATAGCCCTTCTCGGCGCGGAAGAGCTGTTCGCGGTCCAGGTTGTGCTTGGAATCGTGGTTTCCGTAAATAGAGGTCCATTTCTGGCCAGCCTCTATCATGGGCCGCACGATCTGATTGATGTACTCTGTCGAGTTCTCCTTGTGGGTGTCCTCGCCGGTAATTAGGTCGCCATTCAGTACCACAAGATCCGGATGCTCGCTCCTCATGACATTCTTCATGACGCGAGTGGAGTTGATGTCCTGCTCGATGCCCCAGGAGGCGAACTCGACTTCTCCAAAGTGCAGATCAGAAAAGATGCCAATGCGAAAGTCGCGGTTCGTGGCCCCTAGCTTGAGTCTGGGCTTGTCCAGCGACGGCTCCTTTAGCGGCCACTTTCCAGGGGAAATCTTGGTGACTAGCATGAACATGGCGGCGAAGGAGATGGCGTAGACGAATATCAGCTGACAGATGCGCTCCACCAGGCGGGCAGTAGACTGCGGAGGGCGCAGCTGAACTGCTTCTTCCAATTTTGCTTCCGGCATCGTGATGAATGGTGGAGATGTCTGTGGTGTCGATGGCGAAGAAGATGCAGGGAGGGCGAAGGCGAGTGCCGAGAAATGGAAAGATTACGGACGAGACAATGGATATAGACACCGGCGAAGGAGCATTACAGTGCAGAGGATGTCTCTGGTAGATCGAAAAAAGCACGAAATGATTGGATGCCAGGCGAGGACACAAATCAATCTAGGCGCGGTGAGGAGGAACCAGAAGAAATATGGAATTTGGAAAGAGACATTGAATCGCAGAAAATGTCGATGTCCAGCAGGAAGACCAGAACAGAACAGCTTTAGCTGTCGCTGCTGCAGCTGGGATTTCCCAAGGGTCAAACACTCCAAAACAGAGCCAAAACAGGCCCACTGTGGCAGATGCCGTTTTGGGGGAGGGGGAGACCTATTGGTCCACCAGAGACGGAGGCGGCCCAAGCCAACCAGGGAAAGACGAGACGAATTTCCCCCCTTCACAGTGGAGTGTTTCCCTCTCCGTCACTAACCAGTAGGTGACCAGTGATGTGCACCAAGACATCCACTTGCAGGAAGTGCTGGCTCAGATCCGGTGCCAAGTGTGCCTTTCCCCGTACTTCCCGCCCCCAGGGATCATCGTCCGGTGTTTCTAGCAGCTCCTCGCTCATCTAAAAGCAGGTGGTTATCTGCAACGCCCTGGCTATGGGCAGTTGTTGATTGCAAGTGTCGGAACGGCTGAATTGAAGATTCCCTTGCGCAACGAGGCTTCATTCAATAGTTGGGACGAGGTGGCGGCCCGGGGGTTTGTTGCCGATGGAGCAGAAAACTTTGAGAATTCCAGCATTGAAGAGTGAGGAGGGGTCTTCTGTCTTCGAATATTCATCATCGTCAACACGATGGACGGAGCCACGCCAGAGATTCGCAAGTCGATTGACAGTCCAAGCGCCTATTCTGCATTCCCACGCAGGTCGTGACAAGGCTCACTTCGAGTCGACGCGCCGATGCAGAGTCTGGACGCGCCAGCGACGCTCACTCTGGGTTGCGTCACGTCCAGCATGAGACACGCAACATGCTGCTCCCAAAAGTTCCCCTGTCGCACAGACTCTGCAGCGAAGCTCCCGGTTGGCGATGAGAGCTTCAGTGGAGCACATGTAGCTTTGGGGGCGACGGTTGTTTCCTGTTAGAGATCACTCCCACGCGATGTAGCCGGACTAACAGCTTCAGAAGCTTATCGCGTGAGATACCACCGCCGCTTCCCCGCTCATCACCCAAGCTTTCCTGGAGCTCCAGCGTCGCTGAATTGACCTTCCCAACTGGTCGAGATTCCCGTTCATGGATGCGAAAAGTCGTAATCTGAAGCTCACAAGAGAGCTACCCCAGGCTACCGCTGATAAAATGATGTGACGTCCCACTCTCCACGATACGTCGACCTTCTTCTGCTACTTCGAGGTGCCACTTTGGTGACCAATTGCTTCGTTCACCCGGAGCACTCTCGACCCCAAGCATCATCACACGATGCCTCAATCAGCAGGCCGGTCCTCGAAAGAGGCCGATCTCTATTCCTTCCAGACCCCACCACCGTATGAAGCTGCCGCCTATCCCCGCGTCCGGACTCGTCGCACCCTTGCCCGACGCCTGATATCTGTCCGCTTGCTCTTCGCCGTCTTCCTTTGCGGTGCCATTACCTGGCTGTGCCTTCTCCTCGATCGCGAGACGAAGCTCGACCATGTCGCCCAACACGCGACTTCGTCCGCCCGGCTGACCCGGTTCGAGGAGTCGCTGCAACACTGCACCTCTCTCAAAACCTTCCCTCAAAGCCCCAACCCGAAGTCGCGTACGTCGAACCCGCGATGGAACAAGGAGCGCGGCCAGGAGAAGCCTGTTGTGCTTCGCAACGCGACCTTCTTCGACGGCGAAACGATTGCCTCCGAGCCAATGGACATCAAGTTTGAGAAAGGCCTCTTCGCCGAGGTGGCGACGACTGCTTCCAAGTCAATCAGCTCCGATGGAGCTGTCGAGCACGATGTGCACGGTCGTTTTGTCACACCCGGCTTGGTTGACATGCACTCCCACCATGCAGTTATGATGTGGCCGGGCCTGTCTGCCACCGACGACACCAACGAGGTAAACGAAGCCTACGGCCCTTTGACACCATTCGTGCGCGTTCTGGATTCGACCAAGGCGTATGATGTGGCCACTGAGATCATCATGTCAGGTGGCATCACCTCGTCTCTCCTTCTCCCTGGATCCGCCAATGTCATGGGTGGTGAGGGAACTGCGATCAAGAATGTTCTCAACTCTGGAGAGCTGGGAGAGTATATTGTAGAGGAGCTCCTCCTCGAGCATGGAATTCCCATCGAAGAGCGGCATCGATACATGAAGCTCGCTTGCGGTGAAAACCCGAAGCGGGTGTACGACCACACTCGTATGGCCGATGCTTGGATTCTCCGTGAGCAATTCGCCAAGGCCAAAGAGCTTGTTGAAAAGCAGGACGAGTACTGCGAGGCTGCCGCGCTCTTGTCGACGGCCTCTATGGAGGAGAAGCGCCGGTTTATCGAGCAGTTAGGCAACTTTCCCACCGAGTTGAAGCTCGAGTCTACCGCGGGCATGCTTCGTGGTCGCGTGGCAATGCAGAACCACTGCTATCTTCCTGAGGATCTGGAGACCATGCTGCGAGTGACCGGCGAGTTTGGTGTTAAGGTCCGGGCCTTCCACCATGCCATTGAAGCGTGGCAAGTCCCTGAGATGCTGAAAAACTATGGGGAGTGAGTATCACCGGGTATTTTGAACGACCTCCACAACTAACGAACCTGCAGTAACGTCACGATTGCCACTTTTGCCGAGTTCAGTCTGTACAAGTGGGAGGCTTACGCTCCCAGCTTGTCTGCAGGTGCAATCCTCGCCAAGCACGGCGTTCCTGTCGCCTACAAATCTGACCATACGTCGGCGGAGCTGAGCGCCAAGTATATCATGTATCAGGCCGGTGTTGGCCATTCGTTCCATTTGCCGGAAGAGCAGGCTCTGCAGTCTGTCACCTCGATCCCCGCAAAGGCCATCGACTTGGGTTACCGCATTGGCTACGCGCGTCCTGGATACGATGCTGATCTGGTTGTCTGGGATGCCCACCCCCTTTCTATCGGCGCGACCCCTCTCCAGGTCTACATCGACGGCAACCCCCAGCTTAAGCACCAGATTGTTCAAGAGAGCATGGGTACGACTTTCAACGAGGCGTCCGCCAAGGTCCCCGCACCGATCACTCCTAAGATGCGAACGGAACTCGAGCCAGAGGCGAAGGAAGCCTTTTGCTTCAAGACCAAGAAGAAGGCCACATTCGTCATCAACGGCATCACAACCACCTTCCTAGAGAACCACCCGCAGATGCCCTCGACCTTCCACGATGTCAGCGGGGAGAACCTGACCTTGGTGATCAACAAGGGAGGCATCACGTGTCTCAACACCTCCAAGAACTGCGCTTCAGCAGTCACCCAGGCATCAGCAGAAGGCGAAGTCACCACCCTGGATCTGTCCGACGGCCACGTCCTCCCAGGTCTGACGGCCATCACATCCTCCCTCGGTTTGGTGGAGATTGCGACGGAACCCTCCACTGGCGATGGCTACGCCGACTTCAAGCGCGACGGCAACGACCCTGAGAACCTTGACTTTGCCAAGTACGGCGTTCAGCTGGAGGGCAAGGCATTTGCACGCGCCCGCCTCGGTGGCGTCACTCGTGCCATTTCTCCTCCCGTCAGCGAGGCTGGCTTCGTCAACGGTGTTAGCGTCGGCATCCTCACACGACGGGGCCGCACCCTCCTCGATGGTGGAATCTTCAAGCCCGAGGTCGCGCTGCATGTCACTCTTGATGACGGCGCCAAGGCCAGCGTGGGAACCATCAGCAACGCCGTCAAGAAGCTGCGCAAGATTCTGGTGGACGGCCAGGGCAAGCACAACGAGACGACCTTCGGGGAGGTTGCGCATGGCAAGCTGCCGCTCATTATCAAGGCTAATAACCACGTAGGTCCCCAACCGCCAGATTTGGTGCATCGTAGCTGACATGTGCATAGTGGGACATCCAGCAAATCATCAGCATCAAGAAGGACTTCCCCGACGTGAACATTGTTATTCAAGGCGGTGCTGAGGCCCCTCTGGTAAGTATCATCCCTGACGCTGGTCCATTATAGACTAACCATGCATCGCAGGTTGCCCTGGAGCTCGCCAAATCCCAGATCCCTCTCATTCTCACACAGACTCGTCCTGCACCCGACGAATTCCGACACCGAGACGCAGTCGTCGGCCCGCCCCTGACACCTAGTGTCGCCCGTCTCTTGAGTGAGGCAGGTGTTTACTTCGCCATTGCCGTTGTCTCTGACAGTATGCTTCCCCCTGAATTTCCCTTTCATCCGGTCACCATGAAAACAATACATAGACTGACACTTTCCATTCCTTAGTCATGCCAGCCGACTACCGCCTCCACGATCTTGCGCTCGAGGCCTCTTGGGCAGCCAAGTACGCCAACCTCGGAGCCAAGGAGACCGTCCGTCTTGTGTCAAGCAACGTCGAAGACATTCTCGGCCTTGAGAGGAGCAAGGACATTGTCATTTGGGAGGGCAGCCCCCTCGAGTTTGGAGGCACCGTGGCGCTCAGCTTTGAGGAGGGCAAGGACGGCGAGATTGAGGTTGCCGCTTGCTGGCCGCAGGAGCACGATGAGCAGTAGACGGGGCTCAAGACTGTCCCATACTTGCGTAAATCTTTTGTAAATGTAAATCATCTTTCTTCATCTAAGCTTGGCAGTATCATGGGCACCCTGTATAGTGCGAGGCATCAATAGCAAAACGTGGCTAATTGTTGCGCTGCTTGCAAGCATTGCACTTATCGCCGACAAAGAAGAAGGCTTGGTTTGTTGGGTCGCATCTGACAAACTTGAACCATAATATACGGGATAGCAAAGAGTCAGCTTTGAGAAGATGGGTATAAAGCCCGTAACGGTTATGTATCTGGGCCACGCGCAAGCTTTCGTTCCACTCAGCCGGAGGCCCATGTATATACTAGAAGATAAACAAATGAAGAATCAGGTTTCTTGCTTTACGATGCCATCGACGCCGTGCGCTATGCTATGTAACAAAATCATCCAAAGATACCCCCGGTCTGTGGGAATGAAGACCTCTTCTCAACGTCCATACTTCTCAACCATGGCCGACAAGCGAGACACCGGAAGACACGAAAAGATGTATACTGAGCAGAATCAATGCCGAACTTACTAGCGCCTGTTCTCGTCTTCATCCCTGTGGTCAATAGTTGGATGGTACCTGGCGAGCCTAAACGGGGTATTACTCTGTCTCGCACCGACGTGCGGTCCACTTGATGCGGCACTACGCTCGTGGTATCCCACCTCGAAGACGGTGCGGTCGTCTTCGTTATAGATCGCCCTGACGGGTCCCGGAATAAGTCCAGGTCTCCAGTTGTCGGGCTCCCTACCCTCACCCGGACTTGGCATGATGGGATGCTCGTAGCGAGGGGCTTCAGATCTGACAGGGAGTCTCTCGCGATTGAAGTACCGATGGGGATAGCCGTGATTTCCACCATGATACGAAGGAGCCTGGCGGACCTGACGTCTGACGTCTGAGGCGAGAAGAAACCTGTACTCGGGGTTGTCACAGTCGGTCTCGTACTGCGAAATGATCACAGGGTTAGGTTCAGCTAGGACGTGGAGTACTGGCGAATCACTCACATGAGACGGGGTTGGGCTTCGACGGCGGCGGTGCTCGAGATCTTGCTCGTCGAGGTAATCCTCCTCCTGACGAGATTCATACGTCCAGCGGTGAATCTCACGCTGGTCCTCGACATCAATAATCGCGGTTTGCCGACGCGAAGTCCTGACTTCCGTCTGCGAGGACGTCGAGGAACCGGTGCCACTTCTGAAGTGGTGACGGTTGGACGAGTAGCTCATCTTCAGTATTGTTCCTTCTCAAGTACTGTACCTGCGAGATAATCAGTGTTGTCGAGAGACATAGAGAGTGAGGGAAGAGTTCAAGATGGCTCAGCGCAAAGTAGACACGCAGAAAGACTTACACCACCTAGACGCCGAGAAAACTCCCGAGATAGTATGGCGAGAGCAGTTGGGATCATACCAATGTCGACTGAGAGTAGAGAGAGTGTTCACTCGGGAGAAATCCAAGGGATTTTCTTGTCGAATTTTCTTTCCCAGCGCTGAAGTGGATGGGGTTTAGGAATTCACTCACCTCGTGTCGCCATCTGCTATTGCTTATATCCTGGCGCGCATTATCCAAAGGGATACCAAGTGAATATCATCTTCAGACAAAATTGCTTCGAATATATCCGAATAGCTATCACTGTGAATTGAATGCTTCCTCTGTAAGGTTGGGCGTGTCTCAAATACGTCAGTCGAAGACGTCAACAAGTCAAGAGTAGTGACAATATTCCACGCATAGTATGATTAGTCGGTTCTTTTGTTCCCAAATTAACGATTCAGATAGTATTTAGATGCCGTGACTCGGGGAGCATCAAGTGTCCATACGCATCGTACAGATGTTATCCGAGGATTTGACGATACTTCACCTTCGTCATGGCAATCACCAGTGACTCAGTTACATTCACGGAGTTTTTTCCTTATTTATTTGCTGCTTACTAGAAAGCGAAAGTTAATCTACGTATTAAAAGCTTCGCAAACTGAGTCACGTGGGTAGAGAGTGAGTCTGCTGAGTGCTTAAAGAAAGAAGCAGGCGGGGTGGGTGATTTCCTCCTCACATCACCACCTCCTTCCTTACTTCGTTCGGTACGCCAATTCACCTTCCCCTCTCGCGCTTTCCGCATTCACCCAGTCGCAGATACTCTGGCGCTCCAACCTTTTGCCCATATCTTCCAACTCCCACACGCGTGTTTGTGTGTTTTGAACGTCTTTTCATAACAGCATCTCATCATCCACTTGATTCAATCATTATAGAAGGGCCTACGTCGCACAGTCAATCAATACTCAGACGGGAGCATAGATTCCAAATCACACAGGACCAGCGATGAAACGAGACGCGCAAGCAGACGCCAAAGTTCGAGCAGAGCTCTCAACGAAGCCAAATGGAGAATTTGCGACAGAAGACGAGGCAACAAGCACGACACAGTTGCCAATTGCACCTAGTGCGGAGATCGAGACTCATGGTCCAGCTTCGAAAGAAATCGATAGCGAGACCTCGCCCGCAAAAATTGCTGCTCTCGAGCTCGAGATTCAGGACAAGATCCTGCAAAGCTACGACCTCGATGGTAAGGACATCACCCCAGAACATATTGCGGTCCTCAACGTGTTCGCTCGCGGAATTTCCGCCGCCACTCCAGAAGCCGCAAAAGAGGCCGCGCACCAGCTCAACGATCTCTGCCCTCTCTTGAACCGAACTGGAGAGGCCAACAATTGGATGTACATGGTCTGGCTCGTTATGCTTGACATCGTTGCAGATATTGGATCGAAAGACACAGTACAAGAGGGTTGTGTCCGCATCCTTGAGGAGTTGGTGCAGTGTGCCAAAGGGATGATGGACGTCTGGGGCGTAGGTTGCCTCTGCAATATTCTGAAGTTGTATGTCAGCTGATTACGCTTTTAGAGCGACCTACGGGTGTGGAGAGATCTACCCGTCTTCCCAATCGCCTTTCACGAGTACTGGGAAAATGGTAAGTTCCATTATCCATGCCATGTCGAAGAATGATTCTCATTCATTTCCAATGCAGACCCAACCAGCAAACTGGGAGCAGAAAAGCTCCACCCCGCAGACGTCCAGAGCTGGAAGAACATCAGCTGCTTTGCGGCTCGACTGATGCGCTCAGGTCTCGCCAGTGACTACGACCAAGCTATTATAGCATTGCGTACAGCCCTCGAGGAGGATGTGAATACGCTGCCGGGGTTTGCAGATTGCAGGACACAGGTCGCTTGCCTTTGGATCAAGCACGCCGACAAGTTTCTTCTACGATGGGCGCTGGAGGACCCTGGTCGTGCGGAATTCGCCGGGCCCCCGCCATCATATTTGGAAGCAGGCCCATTGTACGGCGGACCTGCGACCATGTGTCTGCAGAGATGGGGCTTCTGGATTGAACGTCTAGAGATGCTTGGGAAGGAGACGTCTGTATTGGAAGAAGACACGCGGGAAATGGCACTTCAGGCCGCGAGGACGATAAGAAACGTCGAGAAGCGTGTGCGTCGTTTATTGTCAGCATGAACTGCTCCCCAAGCATGCAGAAAAGTTATCATAGCTTAGTAGTTGGCATGGATCCAGCGCGACTCAAAGGTCTACGGTCTCTTTGGAAATAGAAAGCATTGTGTTACCAGGCTGTGGAATCCCACAAGGACAATTGCTTTCATCAGGAGCAGAACAATCTTGATTTCCGAAAACAGCACAACTGAGAGCTTCTATCGCTGTGGGTATCTTTTGCTCATAAAGTCCAATCTGCAAGGAAAGTGCAGAACGACGAAACCAATGCCAAAACGCCCCAACTTCGATGCGATGGCACCGTCAGATCAGCACAACCAATGCAACTCAAGAGAACATCATCCATGTCTCATTATCCCCAGCCCACCACGTAAAGTCTTTATCCATCCAAATCCAGCTCTCCGCCACGCGTTTGCTTCATGCTCCTCTGGCTTGATAAACCAGTGGCCTGTCTGCATCTTCGAGAACCTGCCATCCAATTTGCAATCCTTCGTGATGTTCTCAATCAAGCACCGCAATGCGCCTCGCTTGTAATCTGACAAAGGTATTAGCGATGGAAGCAACATCGTCTAGGACAAGGGATATCGCCCTTACCAAGAAAGAAGCTATGTCCACGCAAACTCGCTGGTTCTCAAAAGATGTCATTGCTCATCTTTGGTCCAGCATTGCCTACTCGCGCTGCTAGCTTCAAGGCTTTGGGTTGTGGAAGGCGGGACGGTACGTCGCCAGCGAAAACGGATGGCCCTTCTAGTTCCTTCCGTTCTTCGGCTGGGGAAGAGAACGCGTCTTGTCGTGGTACGCCACGTCGAATACCTCGCGGTCTGCGTCATTGTAGATCGCGCGGATGGGACCCGGCTTGCCGCCGGTATAGTTGTTACCTCGATCGCCCTTGGACGGGCTAGGCTTCATAGGAAACTCCACCCAGTCTCGCTCTGACTGTAGAGGCAGGGGAGGTCTGTTGTTGTACTGGTGTGGATAATGGCCGCGGGATCGGGGCTCGGACGGCGCCTGGCGAACTTGACGGCGGATGTCAGCGGCGTTGAGGTGTTCGTATTGAGGCTCGTCCTCGCAGTGGGCGGAGTACTTGAGAGTCAAGTTAGTTCTTTTCTTTGGCATGTGAGATGGAGGAATGGAACTGATGTACGTAGGAGTCATGAGACAGGCGTCTCTCGGCCTTCTCAGGCTCTTCCCGGCGCTCAGTGCGACTCCTGAAGGAGCTCTCGGAGTAGTTGAAGGAACGGCCGGCCTTGGGCGAGACGACGGAAGCCCAGTTCATTGGGACATTGGGAGGTGTGCTTGGGCGCGAGCCGGTCGGAGCGCTTGTTCTGGTCTGCAGGCGAGACGCGCTTAAAGACATGGTGACGACTCGGAAGATGGGGATAATTCGCGAAATGAGACTTGAAAGGAATTGAGAGTATTTGCGAGACGATTGAGGGCTCAAATCACCTGGGTTTGGAAGTAATGTGAAGAACACAAGAATAGGTATGGAGAGTGTGTGAGCGGTGTTGTTGTTTGGTTCGAAAAGAGGGGGGCCACCCTGAGATCTTTTTATGGTCATGGCCTTGAGCCGCGATCACTCTGATCTGCTTGAGGCCTCAGGCGTCGTGGGTGTATTCACTCGAGATGCCTCACTTAGCGCGAAATACCATCAGACGAAGCCCACCCCTGAGGCACCAACCTCCAGGGCAACCCCATAGCAACGCACGAAATCATGCGAGGCAGGATAACGCGTACTGAAGCCACGTGGTAGCACCGTGAAAGCGCGTGCGATGATGGAAATCCGACGTACGGGCAGTGGCTTCTTCTACTTGCAGAGAGTGATCCCAATTTGCGAATAACCTCATCTGGTGGACCCACATCGACCAACGGCACGACAAGGACGCCGACTCACTAGTATACCTTAGGTATCCAGGCAAAGACTGGGGAAATTATCAAAAGTCTCAGAGCTTCTCTGGCTATGCCGCTGTCTGATTGGACTGCTTGATTCACTGGGCGGATGGGTGATCTTTGAGGTGAAGTTGCAACAAACAGGTCACGTGGTGCGGTCCCCCGCGGAAGGGCACACGCGTCTACAAAGAACAAGCGGGGCGGCGGCTTGCTTTGAGATCATCTTTTCTGTCTGTTGCCAAACTTCACAGTTTGTTTTCAGTACACCTTCCATCTTGTTTGTTTCCCCCCCTTTCACCAACTTACTTTCTCCACCACCTCGATTTCGCACCTCACCCCTCAACTTCACAGCGCTTCCTGATCTTCTCTTTTCCATTCTACGGAGACGTCACAAAATACATATCCGATCCTACAAGCAATGAAATGAACGAGATCATCTCCAACGCCAAGATGGATCCCGAGACAGGCCCCTCCACAGAAACCCGGCCGGACGTCGCACCTGAGAGTGCTGCAAAACCTACGACTGAACTCAAGGCTGGGTCTGCAACAGCTGGCAACAGAGACATGATCGAAATCATGAGTGAGCTCGTGATAGGACCTGGCGCTGATGATACAATTCACGACGCTTCCCAATCTACCTTCGAGTCCAACTCCAAGGCTTCTGCGAATTCGCCTTCCGCTACCGAGGTTCCTCTCCCTCCGAGCCCCCCACCTCCACCCGGATTTTCGTTCAGTCCTCTTTCTATAGGATCGCTCTCTTACACCAGCAAGCCAACTGTACCCGATGCTGAAGGTCTTGCTGAACCTGCTTGCTCTCCGTTCGGTCCAATTCCAGGCCCGCGCCCCTATGAGATGCATTCCAAGCAGATCAAGGCCGACAAAAAAGGCAAGACGATCGATATTTCAAAGTGGCTACAGACCACACAAGAATCTTGCGAATCTTCAGACTCATGCCTGCTCCCCAGCACCCTGATCTCGGCGACAGCGGCTTCCACCGTAGCGACAGAGGACTCAATGACTGCGCTACCCGACATTGACCTGTCTGGCGAAGTTGGCATGTCTGATGACGATACTGCTTCATACCACACCGCTCTGGAAAGACCGGATCTGAGAACTTTTATTTCCGATACAGTGCCGATAAAGTCTGTGTGTGAACTCGAATTTCTTCAGGACCGCGATTTCTCCGATGAACAGCTTGCGATCATCGGCGCATTGGACCTCAGTCTGCAGACAGACATTCCAGACGCGGCAGAGCAAGCCGCCGCAAAGATCGACAGTCTTTGCCCGCCTACTGACCAGGAGGAAGAAGTCGAGGAATGGCTGTGGATGCTGTGGGAGGTGTTTCTCGACGCCGTGCGCAGCCCGACCTTTTACATCCAAGGGCGCCAGGCCGCCACAGGTCCCATGCTTGACATTCTCAAATGCCTGCAACTGCGTGCCAAAGGAACTGTGAAGATAGAAGGAGTCTGTGGTTTCCCGAGTGTCCCTCTCACTGTAGCATTCTTTGCTAATCAGGTTGGCTGTACAGGAAGAGCAAAGGCTTTGGAGAGATCTGCCATCGTTTCCATACTCTATGGATGCTTGTTTCGACGGTAAGCCCTCACTCAGCTTTACCTGGCCAAAAGAAAGTGCTCGCTAACTCGCTGACAGATCCAACTACGAGAAAATCCGGGTTTGACTCCAATACTCAGTGGTCCTGGAAGAGCTTGAACGCCTTCGCAGCCGAATGCCTGGGAGGAAGCGTTGGCGGTCCGTACGACCAAGCCATGTATGCCATGACAACGGCCCTCGAGGAAGAACCGATCTTGAAATACGGGGTTACAGCTTGCAGAATTGAAGTCGTCCGCGTGTGGATCCATCGCGCTGGCCGTAAGCTCTTCCGATGGGCATTGGAGAACGTCGGTCTCGACGGCACCCTAGAGAAGGACTCTCCTCAGTATGTGGAAGGAGGACCCTTGTACCACGGTCCTCCAATGATGTGCCTTCAGCGATGGGGCTTCTGGATTGAGAGGCTTGAGCAATTGGAAAAGAAAGGTTCAATAACGCTTGAAGTCGAAAGGGCTGCATACTTCGGCGTGGTCGCCAGCTCAACGGCTAGTCAGATGAGATGGATTGAAAGGGATATGGCTTCCACTTTGTCGGTGAGCTCTTGTCGGACCGTACCTATGGGCAACAACCGCTGTGCGAGTCCAGCCAATTTGTCGGTTTAGGCACTAGGAAATAGCATGGGTTCAGCAGAGTAGACTTCATGTTTTCATGTCTGGGTACTATCATGATGATAGAACGTCGACGAGATCGGCTTCTCCTAGATAGAAGTCAAGCAATACAGGGTGATCTTAACCACTTCCATGAGCACTGGATAAATCCAAAACGAGACAAATAACGTCGCCTACTAGAATTCTTCGCTGGCCGCAGCTTCAAACGTGACATCGCTTCGACCGTCTGATTCCTCAGCAAGTATATTGCCGTGTAACGCATCGGAGCTTGAAAGATGATTCCGTCAACGACGATTGGCTCATTGCCCAAGACATGAGGGGAAATACAAGAGTACGACCTGCGTCAGCTTCGAACAGTTGTCGACCCAGCGTGTCTCGTCTCGTGGAAAATTAATGAAATTGCTGACTTCCACCGTCCTAGACATTCGGAGACACACGGGTCCAACGGAGCGAGACGCACGTAGCCGTCATCCGAACACAAACATCACCCGCGCGGGCCCAGGTCTGTCAGCCCTAGCCCCGAATATTGCGATCCGGACGCTCGGCACGCACACAAGCGAAGCTTTTTGCGTGCTACGCCGTTCCGGGTCACGATGCTGTAAGGGGCGCGATAAGGGCACACTGATGCAGGGACATTGACTCTATCTGACGGGGGAGGAGGCAACACCAGCTGAGAGACTTTTTTCCACGCTAATGAGGAGCTGATGGTAGGTTAGTCGGCACTGATGGGCACGGAAGATGCTCTGATGTCGGTGACGGTTCGGTTCCGTGAGAGATACCCGGCTGAGCTCCCCGGATCAACAAGGCGCGGTGACATGATCGGCTGCGCTTGCTCAGACGAGGGATTCTAGATGGTCGAGGGGCGACACATGGCTTAAGATTGGATGGCGTTCCCGGCTGGACTGGGCTCGGTATCGTGCGCGCCGCCGTCGATCCGTCCCTGCGGGAAAGCACTATCGCAAAGCGGGCAGCAATCATCTCATAAATGAATCTTGTTAGTCCGCTCGTCCAAAGGATCGTCGCATGTTCTGACAGGAATAAGAAAGTTCGGCAAATTTGCATGAAAACTGCCGTTCGCCGAGAATTGGTGCATGGTGATGTAAGCGAGCATGGCGATTGCATGGCTGGTGGCTGACGGGAGGGCTGCCCGCACCCACGCATCTGTGCAAACAAAACTGAACATTGTTGTTTCCCAGAAGGTGAAAACAATGTGTTTCATATGAGAAGCCACGCATTCTGATCTTGACCGGTATTCGTCATCTGTTTGATTGGGCGGGCCACTGTTGTGAGCCCGGCGTTTCTGAAGCGCGCGCCAGTCTGGTTTTCCGCCCTTGAATGCGACAGGGGTACACCCTCACGGGCTTCACAAAAGGTGAGCAAGCATGAATCGCATGACGGTCGCCCAGAGAGCAGGGTATGCTTAAATGGATTGCAACGTCGAGGCATCTTGTCGTGCCCTATTGTCGTTCATTTCGCGTCCGCTCTTGGCCTTACTCATCCAAACCAGGCCCTCTGGTTGCTTGGCAATATGAACGTGCGAAAAGAGCCATTGGAGCCCCCGACGCCGACCGTAGAAGCGGAGGCTGAATGACATGGAAATAAACAGACGGTGGCAGTGCTGAGGAGTAAAAGCATGGGCAGTGATGTTGATGGCGGTGAGTAGTACTCCGGGAAGTCCGTTGAGGAACTCCATGACGACGTCCGGTGACGATTGCCCTGGCCGAAGAACAATTGACCAAAAACGGTGAGACTGTCTCCGACCGAAGTCTTGGGAAGACAGAAGGAAACTTGACCGACGTCCGGGTAAGCAAAGATTGGCAAGCGTTGGAATGAGCCGTCGCAAAACGAGACCTAAATTGAGCAAAGGGCGCAGGTGCACCGTTGTAGATGAAGAGAATGTTGCCAGCATCCAGAGTCAGAGTACGATGGCTAATCGAAGCAAGAGTTGTGTTCCTGACTTTCCCCAGCCTGACCGAACGGCAACATGGCCACGATGCTTGAGGGTGACTGGTCTAGAGAGCTTCCACGGCACGACTCTAGAATCGGAGGCGCAAACCTATCCGCAGTTTCAGCCATACGAAAGCCTCTCGTTGAGGGAAGCAAACGAAGATGCAAACGTGACCAGCCGTGATGCTTCCGCAGCCACCCAACCACTTCACTTTCGAGGTTGGCGCCAGCCGCATCTGACAGCCATCATTTGGTCGACTTGAGGGAACTTTGGTGTGCGGATGGCTTCGAGGTCGACAACGACCTAGACCGGCAAGCGGCAGTCACGAGAGGACCTAGAGGATGGCAAGCCATTTATCAAGTGCCATGAGAATGATCTCCGGGCAGGCGGCCGCGGCCGCAACGCCCCTGAGAGGCATGTGGTGTGGCGGTTTCATAAGCTATCAAGTTTCCGTGTCGCTGAACTCGGTGAGCTGGCGCTGCAGCTGATGAGAAGGAAATCCCGATGCAATGGACAGGGAGACGATGTAACGAGGTCACATTCGGAGGTAGAGGTTGATCTCCCCGTCGGGGCTTGACCAATGGAACGGTGGCGGCTCGACGAAGCGTGATTTGCTGGAGGTTCCGTGAATGTTTAGTTGAAAACGTGGGTAGACAGACATGGGATGAGCGCCGGGATGAGACGTTCTGAAACCCCACCGGCGGCTGGCTATTCGACTCAGTGGTCCTTCAAAATCCATTGACCATTGAGTCGGGCCTGTGCAATCTGTCATGGCAGGGTTCAAGACAGATCCTCCAGCCTCTGTGGGAGATATCGGCGAAGGTCTGGATTCTTTGGTGAACCCCACCAGAGCGAATCCATCAGTGTTCTTCTCCAGTCGAAGGACCTCGCAAAGGCCCAAGGATTGGAATGGAAACAGACTATTGGGTCGCCATCCACTTGCAAAAATGAATGGGATTGTTCTCCTGGCTGGTGTCGTTGGAATTTTGAACCCAATCGAGTGTCGTGCGACCAAAGCGGACAGCTATGAGTGCACAAGCAGTTATGCAGCTAGGAAAGTCTTTCCCGGGCCAAGAGCAGCCGAGACAAGAAGATTCCTCACCGGGGCAAGAAAGGGATTGTTTGCAGGCTGGCTGAGGTGCGTGACGAAGAAGAATAACCCTGGAAAGAGGAGTTGTCTTCGACGTTAGGTACTGCTAGGTGGTGAGAACATCTAAACTGTGCTCCTGCCACCGCAACTGTTCAGCGGATAGCAGGTGCTGGCGACTGTCGTCCATCATCTGGATTGTTCTTTCCAGTTTCTCTTCTCAGAAGCCCTAAACTGCAATCAAAGAAGGTACGTACCGGATAGCATGGGGAAACCCCTGCGCAAGTGGACCCGCCAGCCCAGGAACCACTTGCCTGGATTAAGGTTAGCACAGCGGCCGGCCCTTCCTCTTCTTTCCTGTTTGCTCGCCCCCTCGACCCCTCAACCCCTTCACTTTCCATTCTGAGGTCCGTTCTGAGTCCAGGGAGAGCTGTCACTGCTGCTTCGATTCGCTTTTGGGCATTTCGGGGCTCGATTGAGTGAGCACCGTATCTTCTCTTGTTCCGTCTCACCTGGCTGAAGATAACAGCGACAAACGGCTGCTGCTTCACCCTATTTCCACCGCCCGTCATCCGAGATCCCGTCACCCCCGCCGCAACCTCGTCATTCCCGACGACGACCGTATTGGCAATGTCCACATCATCAAATCCGTCAGCCTCTCGATATACGGGCAAAGACATGGCGGATTAGGTGAAAAACCGTGACAGCCCGCCAGAACGTCATTTCTTCGTAGCCCCTCGGCTTCCGTTGCCCCTGAAATACGAATACTGCCAGATGCCATGGAACAGTCGGGATTAATGGTTTTTCTGGTTGCCATGCGCTTCGGCCAAACTGCTGCTAGCTTTTCCAGACGGACGGAGCGCTTCTCGTTTCCAATGTCAACCGTCTACGCCACCAACGGGCACCCGTCGCTGCCAAAGCAGTATGCTTACCTCTTGCCGCCTGGCCTCGCGGGTTACTGAGCCAAGGTGGCAGTCGCTTCTTCCAAGGCGCTGATTCAACCTGGTTGAAGCTGACTGGCCGCCACTCGGCGCGGCACAGCGCTAGCAAAAAAAGAACTCACACTCAGGGGCGAGTCATGCTGCTAAGTTCGTCCGGCGTCACACTGGACGACAATCCAACCCGGGACCTGCACAAAAAATGGCAGCTAGACGCAAATATGGCCAATGAGGGTGCCTCCTTCGTATGCACTATGCAGGAACAGGTCTTGCAGCACACCATCTCAACTTTTGTGCACTCCCGCGGCCTCCTTTTCAAGTCTGGGCGGTTTCCCGTTTGTAAGTGTGCAGCACAGCTGCAGTTGCAGTCTGCAGAGAGGAAAACGCCCGGCCAGAGGAGGAGCGGGGGTCTGGTATCCAGGGGCTTGCAGCGTTTGTTTCTTCTCTCCAGCCGTCTGCCGTTTCTCTGGTGGTGGGAAGCCACCTAAACAACTTTGTTTCCCCGTTCTTTTTTCCTTGATGTTGATGCCACTAATGCATATTCTGCTTCTTGGTTGTGGATAATAATGGCAGGATAAGCTGAGTAAATGTACTCGAAAATAGCTGCACAAGAGTGAAGGAACCTCGACGCACTCTGAAGCTCAAGGGTTCGTCCCTGTCGTTCATCCCATGTTTAAAGTCTATCACCACGGGACGGAGGCGGGCAATATTAGCACTCGGTACTCAGCCCAGCCAAACACCCGCAGTCCTTCCCATCTCGCTGGTCTCCCGCCAAGATGCGTTGCCTCCCCGGCCCCCGGCAGACTTACAACCACGCCCACACCACCTCATCGTTCCCCGTGCCCCCATGCTCGCCCTGCGGTCCTGTGGGCATCCATCGCCGTTTTTCCCAGGCCGCACTACCCAGAACACTCCATGGCGTCACGGCTGAGCGCGCCTGGGCTCTAGACTAGCGTCTTCCTGCCCCCCGGGCCTCTTCCGCGCGGCGAGAGGTGAGCTGGAGGTGAGGCCAGGATGCCTGGGCCGTAGGCTGCCAACTGCCATCCACCCTGTCCGTGTGTCCCCGTCCCAAGATGCCCTCCGATTATAATACTTCCCCGTCCCCCTCCCTCCACCCTGATCTACACTCCCGACCTCACCTCCCATTCCACTACCTTTCCCTGTCGTACTTGCTGGGCATTTCTTCTCTCCTTTCATCATCATTCCTTTTCAAAACTAACGCTGAGCTTGCTTGGCATCACTCTCATTACAACACCCAGACATCGTCTTTGATCCGTCTGATTCATTCACTCTCTCACTCACAGTGTCTTACACACTTTTCGTCGCTCATCCGAGTCACAACCACATCTGAACGATAACTCGTTCTCTTCGAAGGTGCTCCGGTATTAGCATCCACAGTCTCTACTCAACGCCCAAAAGTCCCAGCGACGACCTCTTCTTCACTCGTCTAGTTGAACTTCACCTCGACCCATTCTCATCACACAAAACAAACGCAAACATGAAGTTTTCCGCCGCCGCCGCCACCCTGGCCGCCCTCGTTGGCACCGCCTCGGCCGGCTCCAAGTCTAGCGACCGCACATTCGCCGTCCTCCGCTTCAACGGCAAGGAGCTCGTCCGCACCCGTGTTGATCCCATCGTCTCCCCCGGACAGCCTGCCTCGCACGTTCACGGTGTCATGGGAGGAAGCAACTTCGGCATGTCAGCTACCGGTGACACTCTGGCCCAGTCCAAGTGCTCCAATGCCATGATTGCTGGTGACAACAGTGCCTACTGGTTCCCCTGGCTTTACTTCCAGGATCCCAAGACCAAGAAGTTCGAGCCGGTTGAGATGTTCTACGTCAATGTTTACTACTTGTAAGTGCCGCGCCTGGATTTTGAGAAATTATGCTGACAGTATCTGCAGCTTCGAGGGTACCGACGACGAGATCAAGGCCTTCCCCAAGGGTCTTCAGATCGTCAGCGGTAATATGAGTACCAGAGTGGTTCCCTCTACTGGCGGCAAGCAGAACCTCGAGCCCGCCGACGGCCCCGTACAGCCTGTTCAGTGGACCTGCCCTAGATCCAACTACAACCCTGCCTCTTACCCCAAGAACTCTGATGGATCTACCGCTGGTATTGTTGACCCCAACAACGAGGGCTCTGGTGTAGGTTTCCCTGACCAGAACTGCGACGGCTACGCTTCTCCCCTTCGCGCCGACATCCACATGCCTTCTTGCTACAACCCCAACAAGGCCCTCGACGACTACGAGAACAGCATGACTTGGCCCTCAAACAAGGATGCCACGGATAAGCGTCGTGCCAACTGCCCTGCCGGCTACATCCACGTTCCCCACATGTTCTTCGAGGTCTACTGGAACACCCCCAAGTTCTCCGACCGCTGGACCCCGGGCCAGGGCACCCAGCCCTTCGTCCTGTCCAACGGTGATGTTACTGGCTACAGCTCTCACGCCGACTTCATGGCTGCCTGGGATACCGATGTTCTGCAGCAGATCATCGACAACTGCAACGCTGGTTCTAGCGGTATGGACAAGTGCCCCGGTCTGCTCAAGGGTCTCAACACCAACAAGGACTGCACCATTCCCTCTCCCGTTGATGAGAAGACCGACGGCATCTTGGACGCCCTCCCAGGAAGCAACCCTCTTGGCGGCTGGACCTTCGGCGACGTCGTTGGCGGACTCACCGGTGGCATCATCGCTAAGCCTTCCTCTGGCGGCGCCTCTGCATCTGCCGCCGCGTCCGTCAAGCCTTCCGCCGCTTCCGCCAAGGCCAGTGCTTCCAGCGGCGCTGTGAAGCAGGAAGCCATCCCGGCGGCTTCGGCCACTGCCGTCGCATCCCAGCTCCCCGTCCAGCAAGCCCCTGAGAAGGAGGTCAGCAGTGCGGCCGTCACTTCCAAGGCAGCCCAGGCGTCAATTCCTGCCGTCGCTCCCACAAACCCTCTCGGTGATGCTGTCAAGTCCAACACGGGCTCTTGCAGCCGCAGCACCAAGACTGTTTGGAAGACCGTCACGGTCACTGCCAGCGAGGACTCCCAGGCCGCCGCTACCCCTGCGAGCAACAACAGCGACGGCTACAAGAAGGCCCGTCGTCATGTTCACGAGCACATGCGCCGCCGCCACAGCAACCACCACTAAGCGGCCAATCAACACAGACGGAGTTTTCCACCTTCGCGCACCTCTTTTGTTTGAGCTTGTACCAAACTTCTTTTCATTAGACATTCTAGGGCCTGTGTTGGGAAATTCGGGAGTTTCAGATCTTATACCAAGGGGTTCTGGTTGGAAACGGACACTGGGCGGGGATTTCGGTCAGGCTTTGGAAAATGAACTTCACTCGGAGGCTTTCCGTTTGCTTTTTTGACTTTGCGTCGTTGAATTTGACGAAGATGATGAAACAGATTTACATACATACCTCACACCGGGGACACATATACTTCGATTCTTGTTCGGCTTGAGAGGGCCGCATTTGGGAAGGGTTTTTGAAAGGGACACAAATGGACAGAGGCGCTGGCCTCTTCGTTCTGGTAGTCAGATAGACAGTTAAACCAGAAACGATTTCCATCAATTGCTTGCATTTGGAACGTGACTATTGACTACTTACATCATGGTTCGCATGGAATGTCGTGGTCAATTACGTGAGATGAGTGACCTTACCAAGTGCATCCGGTAATGGCGGTCCAATTAAGGTTACTGGGAAGAATTTCACCTCATTTCCTTTCATGCAGCCCAGACCTAATTCTTCTATCTTCTGAATCAATATTCTGATCCAGAATCTTTCACCGGATCTTCCCCCAATTAAATCAGTTTAAAGTGACAAAGTCGATGGGCATGCGCCGGGAGACACTCGTCGCGCGTCCAATCCCCCGTCGTTTCCACCCGCCCAGTCCCCGCAAAAATTCTCCGAACCGCAAATTCTCTTCAACGACGGCCGAGCAAGCTCCACAATCACTCACCGAGGCATTGAGATGCACCACACCGGACGGGCGATTCGATAATTCTCTTTTATTCTCACTTGTATTCAACTGGGACTACCGTTGCAACGAGCACAGAAGGGGAACCATGTCGCTGTACCACGAGACGGCCGAAATCCTCTCGGCCAGCCCCGACCACGGCGGCAGCCTCAAGAGTCGCGTCTTTCGCAAGAAGGGGCTCAAGTCGCCGCCCGCGCAGGTGTACGCCCTGGCATTCGAGACGTGCAAATGGAGCGGCGTGCTGAAGGAGGTCATCGAGGCGGCGGACTTGCTTCGCCATGAGCGCAAGGTTTGCAAGCCCGGCACTCACTCATTCTCAGGACTCACTGACCCGTCGCAGCTCACCCCGATCTTATCCCTACTGCTCGCCCACGACTTCCTGCTCGCCAAAGGCGGCATCGCACTCCCGCAATCACACGGTCTCAGACAGACCATCGAGAGGCACAAGGCGCGCCTCACCTCGGAGCTCACGCGCGCGCGTCTGCGGCGTCGGATGCCCTCCCTCGACGCCCTGCGCGCGGACGTCAACGCCAACGCGGACCCGGAGGGCAGACACCCCCGCTGGATCCGAGTCAACCATCTCAAGAGCGACGTCGAGACGCAGCTGGAGACGACGTTCAAGGGCTTCGAGCGGGTGTTCTCCATCGCGGACGTGACGGCATCGAGCGCCAAGGCCGTCTTCATCGACCCGCACGTCCCGAACCTGCTGGCCACCAGCCCCGGCACGGACGTCACCAAGTCGACGGCGTACCAGAACGGCGACGTCATCCTGCAGGACAAGGCGTCGTGCTTCCCGGCGTACCTGCTGGACCCGCACCCGCAGGACGGCGACGTGATCGACTCGTGCGCGGCGCCGGGGAACAAGACGACGCATCTGGCGGCAGTGATGAAGGGCCACCAGCCGGAGCAGGGTGCGGCGAAGCAGACCATCTTCGCGTTCGAGAGGGACCCAAAGAGGGCGCAGACGCTGGAGAAGATGGTCAGGATTGCGGGGAGCAGGGGGACGACGAAGATTGGGCTCGGGCAGGACTTTTTGGAGGTCGATCCGCAGGCGGAGGCGTACAAGGACGTCGGGGCGCTGTTGCTGGACCCGAGTTGTTCGGGGAGCGGTATCGTGGGTCGGGACTCGATGCCTGAGTTGCATTTGCCAGAGGTTTCGGGGCCGGGCGGCTCGAAGGGGAAGACAAAGGGCGCGAAGCCTGATGTCAAGAAACGAAAACGGGAAGAGAAGGATGAGGCGAAGCAGGTGATGGTGGACGACGATGGCAACGCGGTGGAGATCCAGTCCGAACAGGAGCTGCAGAAGAGGTTGAATTCATTGGCCGGATTTCAGCTGACGTTGCTCCTGCATGCGATGAAGTTTCCCTCGGCGAAGAAGATTACGTACTCGACGTGCTCGATCCACGCTGAAGAGAACGAGGGCGTGGTGATGAAGGCGCTCGAGTCCAAGGTCGCCAAGGAGCGCGGGTGGAGGGTTCTGGCCAGAGAGAAGCAGGTCCGCGGGATGAAGGAGTGGCCTGTTCGCGGGCTTCCCGAGGCGTGTGGTGGGGACAAAACTGCCGCGGAGGCCTGTATACGGACGTACAAGGGCGATGGGCACGGAGTGATGGGTTTTTTTGTCGCTGCGTTTGAGAGGGATGGGGACGTGGACATGATGGAGGAGGACGGCCCGTACGTGAGAGATGACGAGGGGAAGATTATTAGGGACTTGACGGGAATGCCGGTGCTGAAGAGCACTGGTGAGCCGGTCTCGTTGGCCGAGGACGACGATGAACCGGCTCAGGAAAAGGAGGAGGAACAGAGTCAGGAAGAGAGTGAGGATGACAGCGACAGCTCCGAGGATAGTGAAGATGAGGAGGAATGGGCTGGGTTTGACTAGTGTAATAATAATGGTAGCACAGCAATATGATCGCGATACCCTCGAATTAAAGAAAGCACCGCTTAAAGATCGCCGGACGGTTTATGGTTACATTGCGAAAGGCCACCTCTACTCTGGCTCCTCATCACAGGATCCTGGCAGATAGCCGCGCCCCTTGCTTTTTGTCTCTGTCTTCGTCTCTGTCCCTCTCTCTCTTTTCGTCCCTGCCCTGTGTTTTCTTCTGGTGCTTTCCGGTATTCTTTCACGAAGATGGCGTTGAGGCTGAAGGTGGAATGTGTGATTGGAGCTCCTAGTATCGGAATACCTACCAGAAAGCCGATCGACGGGGACGATGAAATCCAGGCAGTAGCTTGTGGTTATCCCTTTATATATGGTTCTTCTTCACTGCGTGTCTTCTGACTACGAAACTTCCCTGCAACAATACTTATATCGACAGCATTACCATCAACAACCACCGTCATGAGTCAAAGCGATATACATATGGTGCCCATGGAGCCAATCACCGAAATTTATCCTGCCAGGGACATACTCATGTCGATTCGTGATGGTAAAAGCATTCACAGGCTTCAAATCAACAGCCGGTACCTACCCACGGCCTCCCGGCCGTTCCCCGCTCTCATGGGACAGCCTCTCATATATCGACGAACCGAAGGACCAGCCACGGTTATCGCTCACGTAAACATGTCATCAACGGCGACGACGACCATGCTAACGACTTGTATTTCACCATGTTGTGCCTTCACCATCAAGACGAGCTTCAACAGGCACCCACTCCGGTCGAGCGACTCTACAACTTAGCCCGCATGGCTAACAAGTACAATTTCAGTCAACTTTTTATGCTTGCCAGAGAAGCGATGGTTTGACTCCATTTAACGATCTGGCTCAACGATTCTGCGCTGTCCAAGATTACTGTGGCCGCTCTCTTTCTCGGCTACAGCCCGGCATCCAAGCCTTCGACAAATTCGTTGGTCTGGCAGTCCATCAAATGTTGGACGAGTACAGTTCTGTAACGTCATGGCAATAACCACCCAGTCACCAGCTTCCATCAGCGGTGCTGTTATCACTGCTACCACTATTGGTCGGATATTCGTCAGGGTAATAGACGAAAAGCGCTAGCTGGACTTCCCAACTTGGCAAAAGCGACGTTTCATGCGATGTGACCTCAACTACGGGCCCCTGACTAAGGAGAATACCCCTGTCCGAGAGATGACAGGGGTCGTCGAAGATGTTCCCACCATCTCCCCAATCCCATCAGCCTTCTTCTCGCAACCTATTGTCTTCTCTCGCGGCTCACTAAAATTTCACATGAGAGGCCGCGACATGATTTATTCTACACTTTTCACTCTCAGCATCTGGTTGTCCGTGCTAGCTTCCGGAACCTACGCCGGAGACCAAGCACCGCTTGCAGAACCAGTCCCCAGCCTTAGACTTGTCGCATGTGAGTTCATCCCAACCCGATCTTCGCATCATCACACTAAACTCAATCGCAGTTGTCAAAGTAACTTCATCCCATGACCCAGAAGCCCCAGGTCCCTCCAAGCCGTAGCATTCAACTCAAACCATCCAACAGGAATCCCACGGAACCAGGAAAGCCCTCGCTCAAGAATGGGACACCGTCCGCTCCAAGACTAAGGTTCCTCTGGAATGGGTCGCCGACTGCCCCAACGATTCCAGATGCCCGAGCCCCCCTCCCGAGACGATCCCCGAGATCCAACTTTACCGCGGACCCGAGCACGTGGCCGTCTACGCCGGACCCCAGACCGCCGATGAGTAAGGCCCCTTTCTCGCATGCTTTAGAATTCCCTCACTGACCGCAGCTAGAATCCTTCGCTTCATCGACCGAGCCAAACGCTCCTCCCAGATTCCTGTGCATGTGAGCCCGGAAGAGGCAGAGAAATTCAAAGACGTAGACGACTTCGTCTGCATCGCGCACCTGCAACCCTCGGAAGCATCTCTCCGGGAGGCTTTCGAGGACGTGGCGACAAAGTACTGGATGGAGTTCACGTTCGGCGTCGTCGACACGCAGGCTGCAGACTCAAAGGTCGTCTGCCGCAAGCGCGACGACGCGAGCACACACACCTCCTCCTCGCCCGACGGTCTGGAAGCATGGCTTATTGAGGCCTCGCGCCCGCTCATTACGGATCTATCACGCGCCACCCACGAGCGCTTGCTCAAGGTATCTAACCCCCTCCCACCCATATCCATAACCATACCGCTGACATACTTCAGCGCGGCTGGCCGATGGTCTACATCTTCCACCCCTCAGCTGCAACCCGTGCCTCCATCCGCGCGCAGCTATCCTCCTTTGCAAAGTCCCAGTACGCCTCCCTGACGAGCGTGACTGTCGACCCGGCCTACTTCCCCGACCTACCCGGAAAACTCGGCCTCGACCCCGCGAGGGACGGGTACCCCGCAGGCGCGGTCCACCAGCTGTCCAACGGGCGAGTATACCGCTATCCCAAGGACAAAGGGTTCACGCCGAAGGAGCTGCAGGGGTGGGGACTCGACGTGTGGCAGGGAAGGGTGAAGCCGTGGACGCCGCCGGGGCAGGAGGAGCCGAAGGAGGAGAAAGCCGGGGGCGCGAACGTGAGGATCGTGGGGTCGAGCAACCTCAAGGTCAAGAACATTCCGGGGTTGAAGATCAAGATTGGGGGCCGGGAGAGGGAAGAGTTGTGAGACCTTAGCATTAGGTCACAGGGGAAAGAAACGAGGTTAGTCCATAGACTTTATTACTAGGATTATACATGAAAGATCTATCTGGTATATGATGAGTTGCATGAGGCTCTTGAAGCCGCCGTGATAATGTTCCGATAAATGATGCCAAAAATAACTCCTCGCCAATGCTAGTCATGCCGTGAAATCGACATATATACGTCTCCGGGTATCATCATTTATCCCACCATCTATACATTTTTGGTAACCGTGATTATGAGGAAAGTGTGGTTGCGTCAAGGATCTTGAGCCTACGCCGTGGGGGCGGCCTTCTCGTCCTCGGCCGGGGCTTCGGACAAGACGCCGCCAGCAGCAGCGGCATTGGACTTGGCGCGCTGGCGCTGCTCCTTGGTGCGTTGGCGCTCAAGGGTGCGCTCACGCTTCATCTCCTGCTCCTCCTCCATAGCCTCATCCTCGTTGACCTCCTCGTGGGTCTTGCGCATGCGCTCCAAGACGGCGGCAGCTTCCGCAGCAAACGAGCACTTGGCGCGAATGATGTGGCCGTACTTGTAGAAAAGGAAGGGGAAGGGCAAGCAGGCAAGAGAGAGGAAGGCGGGGATAGACGAGGCCCAGTGGATGCCGAGGTTCTCGTACATCTGGGTGGTGAAAAGCGGGAAGGCAGCGCCGAAGAGGGAACGCATGACGGAGTTGGCGGCCAGGACAGAGGCGGCGAAGACGACGTACGAGTCAACGAGGTAGTTGAGTAGAGACAGGAAGACCAGGACGAGACCGGCGGCGAAGAAGCCGGAGGCGATGATGGAGACAATCCAGTGGATCTCGGGGCCGTTGGTCCAAGCGAACCAGAAAAGACCGATGGGAAGGAGGCAGCCACCGACCATGGAAGGCGGGAGACGGGCCTCAGGGGGAGCGAAACCGCCGGCGGCCTTAGCAGCCTTGGCGTAGCGGCGGTTATCGAAACCGGTGTAGATAACAGCAGCGATCATGCCCACGGCAACACCGAGGAAAGCGAGGCCACCGACACCGGGAGACCAGCCACGGCCGCGCTGGAAGACGATGGGGAAGGCGGCGAAGAGCATGTACAACGTGCCGTAGACGATAGCCATGTAGATGGCGGTAAGAAGGACGATGGGCTCCTTGAAGAGGAGGATCCAGGGGCGAGAAAGGGCGACCTTGAACTGCTGTGCAACGGTCTTGCGGGGCTGGTGAGCCTCGTACTTGGAGACGTAGTGCTTGCCAGTCATCTTCTCGAGCTTCTCGGCGCGGCGACGGAGGAGGACGGGGGCGTAGGTCTCGGGGACGGTAAGGCCGACAACGAAGAGGAGGACACCGGTGAAGATGGCCATCAGGCCTTCAATCCAGCGGAAGCCCTCGGCGGCACCAAGGAAGCCACCAACAATGGGACCTGAACGTGTTAATTCGAGCTGCATTGGGACAAGTTCGGATGAATTAGACGTACCAACTGAAGGACCAAGGAAAGGGGCTGCAGCGAAGATGGCAGTAGCCAGGCCACGCTCCGAGGCGCTGAACATGTCGGCAATAACACCACCAGCGTTGGTCAGGGGCGAAGAGCCAAAGGCACCGGCGAAAAAACGCAGGATGATGAGCGTCTCGATGTTCTGAGCGCCGGCAGCACCAGCGTTAAAGGCAGTGAGGCAGATGTAAGTGCCGATGAACAGGTATTGACGGCCATACAGCTCAGACAGGGGAGCCCACAGCAAGGGGCCAACAGCGAAACCAACAACGAAGAGTGAGACACCCAAGATGCCGATCTCAGTAGAGACACCGAAGGTGCGAATGACCTCAGCAATGCCGCCGGAGTAAGCTGTACTTACGAACGCAACGGCGAAAGTCGCGATGGCCTGGAGGATGGTGTACGTCCACTTCTTCGACGTGGCGAATGTTTGGGGGTTGTGAGAATCCTCGGGGAGGAAATCGACGACGAAGGGCGACTCAAGGGTGCCCTCGCCGGGGTACTTGCGGTCGACAACGGCCGGGGTGACGCCAGCCTGGTCGAAGAGAAGGTGGAAGTAGTTGGCCTTGCTGGCAGGCTTCTGAGCCTCGACATCGGCCTCTGTTGCCGTCATTGAAGATGACGAAGAGTGTGGCGTTGACACCATTATGATGGAGTCTGGGGTACGAGCTGGTGGTAGCGGCACTCGTGGCGGCCTCGTGGTGATCCGGTAGCACGGGTGGTCTGATAAGCTTATATCGCGATGTTGAACGGACTGGACTGTGCTTGTATGACGATCGTCGAGGATGTCGTTATCGAACTCTGGTGTTCCAGGTCGGGGAAGATGGGCGATAGATCTAGAGCGAGATCTGAATCCCGGAGAGCTGGGACGGCGCATGTTCTATATACTGCGTACCAAACCGAGTGGCCGCAGTGGAGATTTCCAATGGTCGTTCCATGGCCTTCGCCCTCTTCACCCTTTGTCGGTGCCCGTATCACAATGGAGTGTCTCCATCGGGGCGGGATTGCAGGGGGTCATGGGAAGGGGGCTCCACCGATGCAAGCCCACCCGAACGGGATGGCTTCCGCGTGCACAATTCTTCAGGTCGTCGTCCATGACTGCATGACACGGAGGGTCGGACGTGGCTGGCCGGGGACAGCAATTGACCGAGTGGTTATCTCCGTGTCGGGCGCAGTTTGTGAGTCGATGCGACTGGTGTCGCGGGCTAGCGCAAGCCTTAGCCGCCGCCTGTCTGACATCGCGAATGCGCCGCACAGATTGCAGCAGGCGGATGGTGATTGCAAAGCCGTCATCTCGTAAGCAGAGTCATCGTTTGATTCGGAGTTTGGGCGTGTCGTGTCTGCGTCTCGGCGCAAGGGTTTGAAGACGGAATCCAGACTGATGCCAAGAGTGGACTGCAGGAGCAGAATGCCCCTCGTCCGGATATAGACTCTTGTCAGGTTTGCGATGGCAGGTCGCAGGCCCTTCCAACTGAAGTTTGAATCACAAGACGAACGGGATTGCATAAAACTCTATTCGTGGTTGTGCAAGGCAGGTGGATCCACTCTCGTCGGCAACTTTTTTCTTCTTCTTCTCTCCTTCCCGACTAAATCGGGTACGTACTTCGTACCTGCACTGCTTTTAGTGCACCAACAAGCGGAATGACGTGTTGGCTAGCGAGCCAGGGCCCCTCCAGCAACGGCCACACCGGGCTTCGACGACCGAAAACAACGTGGGCGAAGCCTTCAAAGTCGATTTCTCATGGGTCGGCGGCCCGCTTGCAGAGCTCCACAGACCGGGATGTCGGCGGATCTGCACACCGTGCCGAGGTCGATTGATGGCTTACCCAAGGTCAGACCGTCAGTCGCCTCCCAACTCCAACGGATTTGGGCTGTTTGTATTTTCCGTCGCTCATCCCTTTTTCTCAGGTGCGCATGGTAACTCAATGCCACTCATTTCTTATTACAAACCAGGGCTTCAGGTCGACAGGATTTGAGACGACCGTTCGGACTTTGTCAAGTTCATCCCTAGCCGCGGACGCGCACGCCCTGTTAATCGGATGCTGTGAGGACGCCGAGAAGGCAGGCCACGCGCTCGCCTAGATATACTTGTCTGAATCATTGAGCACCCAGGCATGGCTGAAAGCCGATCCACCAACATACGACGATAGAGGCAGCAAGCCGTCACTGATTACGCCCAGCGGTGGATGAACTGAGACCCGCGGCTTATCGCCTGTTGTAAGTTGGTATATCCGGCCAGCTGCCAGATCTGGATAGATGGATGGGAAGGATCGTCATGCCGCCCGATAAGAGGCTGATGCAGGTTGAATGCAATGCCCGTCACGAACGAACCAACAACACTGGAATGCCTTCTTGGGGAGCCCGCTTCAGAGATTAGCGCACCTTGGGCTGAGCCTCCCGGCGCGTCGGCCGAGACCTCGCCAATAGTGCGCGAGCGCGCGACCCGTGGACAATCAACTGGCAGAACCATTCATTCGGCGATGAATCTGTTACCTGTTCTAGCGATTTTAGCGTCGGTGTGCTACATTGCTTATTCGATTGGTTCTGTTTTTGTCATCGAGGAGGCATTCGGTCTTTCGATCCGGCCATCAACAACCCGCCCCTCTCTTTCGGAGCCGATCCATCATCGGGACCGATTCGAGCCTCCAGTCCTTTCTTTTCCCAAGATCGAACAAAGTCCAGCTGCCAAATTACCCTGCTGGCCAGTGGTGACCAAGCGACCGCGGCCCAGGAGAACCCCTGCACGACTGGCTAGACTTGGCTCCCGAGCCGTCGGCTCTTGCGAAAATCTCTGGAAATTGCCTTCGTCAAGCCTGAACTACCAGACCTGCCTGGACCGCTCCGCCATGCCAACTTCCGCACCTGGTCAGCCCATAAATTCTGGAGCTATCCAGGGTCATTTGCGCTTCCTATTCGACCGGCAACGAGCAAAACCTTTCGCAAAAGATATGTGACCCGTCCTGAGTCCACTTTTTGCTTATCAACTTTTTCCTCTCTCACTGCATCTGTGCCTCGGCCGGACGACAGCCCAACGTAACCACCGCCTTGGCAGACCGGACTTGCGCGAATGGTATTTACGGCGATTGCAGGCCTGCGCGGAACGGGGCCCGTCTGCAATCCTCCTCGGCAAGGGTCACGCCTGTCCGTCGGCGTTTGACCGAATCTAATCTATAAAGCTCCGAAGCCACGTCTGTTGTGCCTCGGCTGTCGCTTTGTGGCTTGCTCCCTGGCGTTCCTAGCTTCCCTAACCCCAGGTGAAATTTAGACTTGGCCTTCAATGTCACCTTGCCAAACCCATGTAACTGGATCCCAAGGCCGATTCAAACTAGACGACGATCGATGAAAAAAGAGCTTAACGGGAGCCATCTCGACAATTGTTCTAGAACGGACTGACCGCGCCCTGAGCTAAGTCGTCCGTGCAACTTTTATTGACAAGGAAAATCAAGATATCGACTCCTCTGCCTCTCGCTGCTTACTTTTTCATCTCATGCACTTTTTGGATAACGGTTTGGGCAGACGAGATGAGGAAGCAAGTGCATATTTCATTGGCGCCGTGGTCTATTATCCCCCCCTCTCCCGTCATCAACCTCATCAGTCGCGCCCTTTCCGCGCGTCCTCCAGACGTATCCCGCCCCGACTCCTGAAGTGCCTCATGAAGTCCGAGTTGGGCCCCGCGGCGCGGCGGCTTCGGTCCGCCAGGACGAGTCCCTCCGCGAACCGGGTCATCTCATTGAGACTGGCCCCGAACAGCTTCATCAACTCCGGCCACGCGTCGAAGTGTTCCGCCGAGTCCACCTTGATTTCAACCAGGCGCAGCTGATTCCCAGTGGAAATGATCGGCAGTAGATGCTGCAGCAAAGACGTCTTCAAGTCTTGCCTCTCCTTCTCCAACAGATCTGTAACTTATGGTCAGCATCTAAGCATCTCATTAGCAAGTGCTCTTTTCAAACTCACAGCACATCCGCAGCGCGAACTCAATGTCGACCACATCTTCCGCGTCCACGAGCTGTATATACGGCACCGTATGATTCCATACCAGCATCCGCGTCACCTTCTCAAATGCCTTGCCCTCATTCAGCAAGCCCGCCGCCAGCCCCAACCGCCACAGGTCCCCGACGGTCAGATGCTCAATCGACGGCTCGTGATAATGCAGCATCGTCTGCGACGCGTACTTGAGCGCATCGACCAGGTCATACTTATCCGCCACGACAGCCACCTCCAAGATCGAATCCGCCGCCGCCATCTGACACACCCGCGAGTTCTGGTGGTGCAGGATGTTCAGAATGAGCTCCATGATCTCCGGGTCCTCGTCGGGCAGGTTGATCTTGACGGGCTCGGACGAGGCGCCGCCGTTGCGGTCGAGCAGCCTCTGGCCCTCCTTGAAGCGGGGGCCGAGCATCGCGCCAAACACCCGCGACGCGCGCTTCAGGATGAGCGAGTCCACGCGCAGCTCCGCCGTCTCGTCGCCCAGCCCGACGACGAGGATCACGTCGCCGTCCGGCACGACGGGCACGCCGCTATGCGCCGTGCGCGACCACATCCGCGCCGCGAAGCTGGCCGGCGAGCGCACCTCGAAGAACTTTTCCGACGCCGTCGTCGTTGTCGTTGTCGTCACCATGTTGGGCTTGTCGATTGTCATGTTTTTGCTCAGCGGGCTGTCCATTCTTCGGTAGGTCTGAGGAGAGAGAGGAGGGAGGTCTCAGTGTGAGTCTGGGGGAGGCAGCACTGATAGACCGACGAGAAATCTGTTGTTGTGGGAGGCCGCTCTTATCTGATGTGAGGCTGAGATGGAGCTGCGCAATGTGTGTTGTGTGTTTTGTTGTCCTTTCACTACTTGCACCATAGCCATCGCCACCGTTTAGGCTTTTCCCCCTCCCTTCAAACGCGACCTTCTCCCCTCCTCGGGTGGCAGTTCAAGAGTCAGTCAGGGTTTTTCTGGGCCTTGCTTGGTCCTGTCTGGTAAGCACCATGGTTTGCTCCTCCGCATCCTCCTCGCTGCCAGGGAAGACCCAGGTCTTCTGGGGTCCGATGAGACGCCGGGCGCAAGCAAGAATCTCTTGGTGGTGTTTCCCCCGACTCAGCTGCGCGGAGTGAACGTTTGGGCAGGAAGGTTGGGGATTGGAAGGATTGGGGTGAATGTCGTCAGTGCCGAGGCTTGTTTTGCGAGAGGACGCGTTCTGGGTGCTGGTCGCTGGCCGGGTTTCCCCAGCTCCTTGGTCCTGGCCCGATTGGAGTCGGGGGATGGTGAGGCTGTGGTTGAGATTTTCATCTCTTGATTCTGCATTGGTGCCGTGCGTCCGGCACACGCGCCCTGCTGGAGGCGATGAAGCTTTCAGAGTGCATTCAGCTCGAGTCTGCCCCTTGGCTGCGTGCTCCGATCGGAGGAGGATGAGATTGGTTTGATTTTTTCCCCAGGTTTCGAGTCGCGGTCGACAGCTGTCAATTGCCGCTGCCCTTTTTCTCGTGATCGTTCTTGGAGAGCAGCCACAGGAGGCGGTGCTCGGCGAAGAGGAAGAAGTGTGGTGGCTCGAGCTCACTCCGGATGTTTGAACCTTGCGTTCGGTCTCCAGCTCGGCTTGGTTGGGCTGGCTAGACCCAGAAGAACGTTTCAAGTCTTTTTTGTCCGTCTTGCGGGAGTTATGGGGTTTGAGGCTGAGATGACGTTGAGTTGAGCAGCATTCTTTCACGAGCAGAAAAGGGGTGAACACGCCGTCTTCTGAACAGAACTCAATTCGGTTAGAATCGCTCGGGCATTTCACCACCTTTCTTCTGTAACAACGTCACACCTCAGACCTTCAAGTAGGCTAGCATCGCGGAAACAGTCAGGTCACTAATACAAGACGACTGGAACATTCAGATTTCTCTTGAAAGCGATTGATATACAAACATCATGTACTGTATCGCTGACCAGGATGAATGGCCGCCGTACATCTCTGACTATCGTTCATTCCCTCAACCCGGTTGTGCCTGTTTCTCCAAGCTTCCCATATTGATGGGATATCGTCCAAGTCTTCCGAGCCAAAGATAATCAAGGGCGTTGCGAATCAGAACCAATCTTGTCTTAGGTCTTGCGCGCGTCTTTCAGCGACACCATCCCAGTCTCACGGACAATTTTCATCCACGGTAAATCCGTGAATTCATCAATGTAGATCTTATCATTCATGAAGTGGAAGTCCAGGTCCGTGTCGTCGACGTATTCCCATATCGTGTGTAAGCTTCCCTTTGTCAGAGTCTCAGCCATATCCCACTTGTCACCAGGTCTATAGGCCCAATCAATCTTGGTAAGATGTCCATCAAAACGCTGGCCTGGCCCGGAGCACGCGATGAGAACTCTGCGGTAGATTTCGGAACGAATCTTGGAGCGTTCCATTTCAAGACGACCTGTTACAAAAGCCTGTCAGCCTCATAGCCGTTTTATTGAAGCTGCGCAGGTTTGTGACCTACCACACAAGCGATACGCTAGTAAATCATCGATGGCTGCCTTCTCCACCAAAGGGACGAAGGCGTCGCCGTAATGCCAGACCAAGGCGTGAGTAAGTTTTGCAAAGTTGGCAGGGTCATCGAAGCAGGCTGCAGTAATGGTCAGATACCATACATCAAGCATGCTCATATCTTTCAACCCTCTGCCGCCATTGATGGTCCGATGTATAGCGTCGGCGATGGTGTGCTTCAAGACCATGACCAAATCGTACTTGTTGGCGGCGACGCCGATCTGGAACAAGACAAGAGCGGGGAAGGAATCCGGTATTTTGTCGACACGATGATGAAGAAGATAGAAAATGGTGCTCATGCCATCAGCGTTGTCTTCCGGGAGCTTGATCTCGGTGATTTCGCCGCGGAGGCTGTTGTTGCGGAGTTGACGGCCCTCTGCGAAATTAGGACCTAGCATGGCTTTGAAAACCTTCGAAGCGAACTTGAGCATGATAGAGTGGACTCGGAACTTTTGTTGCTCAGGACCAACGATCATCATGATGTCGCCATCGGCAGCGACGTCGATGATCTTGCTAGCATCATCGCTGGCGGTACTCGCATTATTTTGGGCCATGCTGGCATCGTCGTCGACCTCCATTTTGGTTTGGCGTGCGGAGCGTCTCGTTTGAATGGCGGTGCCAAAAGTTCTCAGGTGTAGTGACGGGCTTGAAATTGACGAGCAGCTGTAATTAAGCGAGGAAGGTGTGGTGAGGGTGAAGTTGAAAGTAGTGGCCAAGGCAAGAACCACCTAGATAGCTCTTTCCTTGTGAGGCGTTTGACCTCGCTACTCTTTGAACAATGGAGTCAGGGCGGCCCGATATTCAAGGAAGGAGACAGAGACAAACCTTGATATTTCTCACTTTGATGAAGACTTTTTAATCAATAGAACTTGTCGGTTGCCACCCAGTTTGTTGTGGTGGATAGATCCTTGTAAACGAATGCATTGGTAGTAGATTAGGTCAATTGCTTTGCAGTTTCATCGTCTAAAATCCATGCGAATCGCAATTGTTCATGTTAGGCCAGTTCCATGTATTCTTTGGCTAACCAAGCTCCCAAACTGTCTCCTTTCACTTGTCTTTCCTCAGCCCATGTTGAATACCTTTCATTCCCATTAGGCACGCACGTTGGACAGATGCAGCCCCGCCTTTACCACGATTTCCTTCATCCATTCGATGCTTCTGTCGTCCTCATCCTCAGCATTTTCGCGGAATTGATTGAAGTATTCAGAAATTTCTATGGTCTCGAGAACTCCCTGCAGGTCTGAATCGGTAAAGTACTCAGGAGAGTCCATCTGTATGTCGAATCTCAGGATGGTTGAGCCAGATGTCCTCTGCCTCTGGTCGTTGTCTTCATCGTTGTACCACGCACAGACAACCATAAGTTTGCGCATCACCAGCCGTCTTAGCTCTGCTCGTTGGTTTTCGAGAAGGCCTGACATACCCTTGAAGTTAGCAAATATACAGTTTTCGAAGGAATTCCACGGAGACTGACCGCAGAGGCGAAGTGCAAAGATCTGGTCCTGATACCATAAGTCGGCCAATCTAATGTATCCATCCAAAGACAACAAAACTAACGCCTGAGTGGCCTTTTTGAAGCTGGGATCATAATTGAAAATTGAAGCAGCAATAGCTAGCTTCCACATGGACTCCTCTTCGCATCTTTCTTCGTCGGTGAACAAGATGCCATCCATTGCTTCGGTGATCGGGTACTTGACGGCACGGATCAGATCATACTTGTCGGCAGCGAGCGCAACGTCGAAAAGTGTGACACCGTCGGCGTCAGAAAGAACATCATGTCGATAATGAACGAGCTCAAAAAGGATACCCATGCTGTATGCATCGTCCTCGGGAAGGTTGATCCTGACCGGGTCGCTATGACTTCTATTGTTGACGAGCTGCTGGCCTTCGGCGAAGTTCGGGCCGAGCATAGCTTTGAAGACCTTAGAAGCGGCCTTCAAGATCTGCGAATGAAGTCGAAATTCCTTGCCCTTAGGGCCGATCACCATAATAACGTCGCCATCGGGAGCGATGTTGTTGATGGCGTTTGTGTCGTCGCTTACTATGCTGGCATCGTCGTCGACTTCCATGTTGGTCGATGTCAGTGATGCTCTGTTTGGCTTGCGATGGCGGAGGTTTTGTTGAGCTAAGAAGGTGGACGAAAAATGCTTTCTGAGCGGCTGCATTAAAGCGAGGAGGGCGAGGTGAGGGTGAAGTTGAAAGTTGTAGCAAGGCAAGGCAAGAACCAACTGCCTAAGCTAGCTCTTTCCCTCCCGAACGGTCCACATCGCTACCCTCTGAAGAACGGAATCAGAGAGATCCAAGGCTCCAGAACTGGGAAAGAGAAAGAAACAAAACAAAAGGAATTCGAAATCCGACTATCTCGCTTTGATAGAGATTTGCCCATCAATAACACTTGTTGACCTCTTTAGAATTCGCTTTGGTGGCCAGACCTCTCTTGCTAAAGTTGGTGACGGCACGCCTGCTGCTTATGGCGTCGCAGATTGTGTTTGAAAGACAGATTAAGCACATGCGGCTGATAAATTTCTTTTCTAGCGGGCCCTGTATTTCTCTAATCAAGAATTGAGAGAGCAGATTCTTGCTTGATTTCATGGAAAGTTCGTCTTCGTGGATCTAAGTAACCAAAACCTTCTTTCAAGCCGCTCTCTTGCCAAATCTACAGTCTGAGGCCCCTTCCCTGGATTTTCAGTCTCCCTGTTCTAAGGTCACTGTTGCTATGACTTGTCCTTCGCCAATTCCCTTCGCCAATGACCGTCGACATTTCTGATTCGGTAGCCAGAGGTGTGTCATCTCAGATGAAAAGAGCCAGGTGCAATCCTGCATCTTCCTTTAGAGTATCCATCCAGTATTTGTCTTCATCGTCGGCGTGTCTTCCACCTTTCCGATATTCGACGCAGTCTTCAATGAGGTCTAGCTGACGACTCACACTGCTTTCAATGAAGTGGTAGGGGTCGGACACCCCAATATTGTACTTGATCTCGAGTCTCGGCCGGCCTGTTTCGCGTTTGCATGCGAAGAGCAACTCTGCCATTGCTTCTTGTCTGCAATCAGAGCGATTTCTTTCAAGAGCAGCTGGGGAAGCAACGAATCAGCCCTTGATCCAAAGTCTGGTCGAATGGAACTCACATACCGCATACGTGGAATGCAAACACCTCGTTGAAGTACCACTGCTTGGCAAAATCGAGGAATCCATGTTCCCAGTGCAGAACAAAAATGCGCGTAGCAGTGTTAAAGGCAGTAGCGTCCTTGACGAAAGCTGCAGCCATGGTGAATTTCCAGAGCTTCACGCCCAGCATCTTCTTCAGGGTGTCTTCTTTTCCAAAAGCGGCAGCTAACGCATGATGAAATGCGTGCTTGATAGCATGAATCAGGTCATATTTCTCGGCGGCGACCAGGATTTCGAAGAAAGGAATGTTCTTGGCGTTATGGAAGGCGTCAAAATGATGATGAATGGCTCTGACGATAAAACACATGCTCTTGACGTCGTCTTCTGGGAGGTCAATCTTGACCGGCGCACGATTGCTTTTAGCCTGATTAGCGTTGAGATGCTGACCCTCGGCGAAATTGGGACCCAGCATGGCTCTGAAGACCTTAGAAGTAGTCTTCAAAAAGAAGGAATGGAGTCGAAATTCTTTCTTTTCTGGACCAACGACCATGATAACATCGCCATCGGCAGCGATGTTGGCCACAGAATTGTCATCGTTATTGGTGGTACTACTACCGGAGTTGTCGCTAACCACAATGTTGGCGTCATCAACCTCCATCTTGATCGAGGTTGGGCGGTGTGACTCTTGGGTACAAATGCGGAAGTGTGTGGTGAAAGTGAAGATGGACGAAAAACCTCGGCGATCAGAAATGAGCGAAGAAAAAGAGGGCAAAAAGGAGAAAGAAAAAGAAAAGGGGGACGAAGCTCCTGGAGAGCAGGTACAGGCAGGAACCAACTAGTTTCCTCTTGCCCTTTGGGTATTTCTGCCTTTCAATAAATCCCAACTGCTTGGTCTCGAGAACTCGTTTAAAGAAAGACCTAAAGAGTCTCTCGCATTCGGCCCTTCCGCTTTGATAGAAACATCCTGCATAACAATGCCTGTCTGTCGACTTTATCGGCTTCTTTGGATATTCCCAGGCGTTCGCCCATGACCTCAGTGATGCCCCCACCCTCTCGCTTTGCCCGATATCATCTTTTCTTTTTCAAGTTCTCGTCTCCAGTTTGCGTTCTGCCATGGACATCGACGCTCATGACACATGTGCTGTGGTCGTTCGTGCTAGCCGGCTCAGGGAAAAGGAGAGTCAGTATTATGGGAAGTAAGTAGAAGATGGAACGATACCTTGCTTCTGGCCCAGCCAAGCCGTATGTCACATACCAGGGCTGTTGAGAGCGAGCACCATGGGATGGGAGCGTGTTCGCTGTGAACGGTCTCAAGAACAACATCTCAGCCATCATTCAAATCTAGAACATCGTGCGCGGACCTATGCACGAACTGGCGGCAAGGGAAGAAGACGAGTCCTGAAGGCAATGGCGTCCATTTTATCACACTGGAGAGACTTACAAGTTAGGAGCGCCCCCTGAGCTGTCAAAAGCCCGTTCAAACTTTCCGTGGACATGGTTAAAAAGCCTCATCCGGGAGTTGGGACGGTTAAAAGCCGACAGCTCGTCAGTCTGTTAGGTAATGCGGAAAGCCCATGAGGCGCGCGCTTGGAAGGGTTTCAAAGTGCGGAAGCCAATTGGCTATTAACAAGGCGAAATTCATTCTCTCTTCATTACTTTGCGATAAAACTCAGTGTTCGGGTTGTGGGATAAGCCTTCCAGGCTTCCGATATGGATCGCCCTCTAGGCTAACTTGTGTGATGCCGACATCTCCCTCCCAAGGGATACCCCATTTCTCATGCGGAAAGATATCTGGGGCCTTTCGAGTCAGTCTGATCATGTGGTCTCTTGTCCACGATTAGTCAACAATGCAGCAAGGAGGAGGGGGAAAAAAGATAAGCGTGTCGAACAGGTGAATTTGGCAAACGGGGCAATATCCCCTGCCAACCCCCAGCCAAGCCGGCGCTGGATGCGTTAAAGCCACGCCGTTTAGGTGCTTTTTCCAAATCAATACAAGTCGCACCTTATCATAATCATTGCGACAGACTTTGATAGGTTGGACATAAGTATGCAAGGTTCCATGGAATGGACTAGCCATATGAGTGAAGTTGCCAGTCGACCGGGAGAGCCAGTCATGCCCTCCCTCGAATATTCCAGCCATGATTATCATATTTCGAAGTGTGTAAATACAAATTTTCTCTCATCTAATGCGACACTACACATTACAGCTCTTTCGATCAGCTGCGATCAAGACCACATCGTTATTTCAGGAGCCACATCTGCTGTTCAGTCCAGATTTGTCAAGCAGGCTAGATATCCAGGGGCTGGCTTTATCGGAGTGAAACCAAAATTTCTTTCTGCATCTTGGCCTACTACTTACCACATCTTCTCTTGAGTCAGAATGCCGCCACGATTCGTGTCATTGGTGTTTACGATACCTTTGAACCTGTTTTCCAGGTTCCTTCCCTTGTGAGGTTATCGAGTCTCGACTCCTCAGGAACTTTTTCCTGTGCAATATTCGGACAGTACGATACGCGACCAAGAAGAGGGCCGTAAAGCCAGCTTCAGGTGGTCTCACCAAAAGACTGGTGCCATTCAACATGTTTAGTAATTGGTGTTCTTTTGATTTCCAAGGAGAAAGCGGGCTTAGGCCATGACCCCTTTTACCTACTCTTCTCAACGTCAAGAGGAGCAACAGACCCTAAAGCCACCAATTCTTTACAAAAAACGGGAATGAGTTTTCTACAGCTCTCCGTCTAATTCCTTCAGACATTCTCAGACAGCGGTCCATAGGGAGGTGAGAGTCGAAAAAGCAAACGACAACGACCCGGATACCGCGAAATAAAATGTGAGAAACAATCATTGGCGGCCTCTGGAGAATAAATTGATTGTGATACGGAGGGTTTCCGGTAGTACATATCTTCCTGGGATGACTACTGTGGCCAGAACTTATTGAGATTAGCATGCAGAATGTAAACTAATCCAGCACAAAGTACGGGGACCGAATTCTCCGTCAATCGCGACATCATTACTCTATTTCGACGTTGGAGGGAGATTGGGTGCAAAATGCTGCTGCCTTGAGCAGGGGACAAATGTTGCTGCCTGTGGTGGGTTCAGCTCATGCGTTACAACAATGTGGGTGCACAGAACCAAAATATTAATAACCACTCCATGACTTACAAGGGACTAGCGTTTGGACGACTTGCTCAAATTCTGTCCAAAGGGAAACTTCTTCTACGAAGCGAACAATCTTGACCCTGAAGCTGTTCCGTATCGCCATTCTTTCCTTGAGCAGATTGAGGCTCTTGGCCAACGAACTCTAAGTATAGACAACGAGTGTCCGTTATGAACTAACTGTTCAGGGATGTCTCAACTACCTGGAACCTTCCGGTCTCCAAAGTTTGGAAGGGGGTAATTCAGACGAAAATGGAGTTGGGGCCCTTCCGAGCTCCGACACCTACAAGACTGTACGTAGAGACAATATGAATTTTGTAGCTACCATTGAATGTGATAAATGATACTCGCAAGGATTGAAAACGAAAAGAACCAATAGATGACAATCATGAAGAAATAACTCAGAGCTAACTGCGTAGACGGTCGCAAGCTGTTTCGTACGTGGCCAACGATGTTCGGTATCAAGGCCCGAAACAAAGCGAAAGACTTGGCTCGGAACTTTTTACGACAACCAAATCCTCCGGCACCTACCGAGATGCGGTAGGGCTAGTGTAGAACCCAGCTGCTTTCGACCTCGTATCAAGATGATCATGTTGGTACAAACCTCCACCGGGTGTCGATTTTAGATTCTGACTCGTGGGTAAAGGGGCCTCGCACTCAGAATTGACAGCACCGGGATCCCTTTTGCTGATGCCTGGGTTCGGATGGCATTGACCATCAGATGGTCACGACCGAGTTGGTGGGTGAAGCGAACCTGGCTGCGGCAGCTGCGCCCCAGTGCTGCTGCATGATTGGAAGTCCACCTTCCGTCCAGAGATCGTCAGTTAACGATTTCTGATTACATACGGAGACGGAAGGTTGTCGTGAACATAGGGCGGGTGATTCGAGGGTGGTCATTTTTGTTTAGTGGTTCAAGAGTCAGTTCCGTGGTCCTACCTTCTGTATATTAAGTCAGATCAAGCTTGCCATCCGATAGCAAGTGGTTCGACACTTCCCTTTCATGATCACAACTCTACAAGAAATGGTTGCAATTCCCTCTTAAAATTTCTGGTTGACCACTGCCTTCTTTGAATTCCCGTTCCTTACCTTTCCTGCAAGCGCCAACTTGCATGTTTTCTTTCCGTTGGTTGACAATTTGTCTAGATACCCCTTTCAATTTACACTGCATCCCATTTACATTCAGCCATCAACGACTGTCTCATCCTTCTTTTATCACCAAATCTTCTTAAACTCCAATTCTTATCCTTGAGTCTTCATAATGGTCGCTGTTCCACGTGGAAGCTGCTTAAAGCTTTTGGCCGCTACAATCGTTTCGCTCACAGCACTCCTCGTCCTGCATCAACTCAGCTACACAAACACGAACGACTTCAGTCTCCCAAGCCAGCCGATCGAAGTTCTAGACCAATGCCCTCCCTCGACACTTTCGAATATCAACAAAAGCCAACTCGACGAAACGATTCCAAACACAATTCACCAAATATGGAAGACCACGGACGTCAGCACATATCCAGCAAGAGCTTCCCGTGAGTCTTGGAAGTCCATGTTCGAACCAAGGGGCTATCAAGTCAAAATCTGGACCGACGACGACATCCTTTCCCTCATCAAGTCGAAATACTCCTGGCTGTTACCGACATACGAAACCTACGATCACAATATCCAGCGAGCAGATCTGGCACGTCTGGTCGTAATACATGCGGAGGGAGGGATCTATGCTGATCTGGACGTCCACCCTCGATCCGTCGAAGCAACAATGTGTCTCCAACATCTTGGTCTACAAGCTGTATTCGCGCCCACTGGAGGCGCTGCGGGTTTGAGTAATCACTTCTTCATGGCGGAGAAGGGGTCTGACTTCTTAATGTGGTCTCTGCAAGAGGCCAAGCGACGCGGCGGCTCGACTTCGAAGAGAATACTTCTCCCATACTTGAGGGTTTTCTGGTCTACGGGGCCGCTGATGTTGACTGCGGCATATCGTCAGTACATGTGGATGTATGGGACGAACCAACCTCGCGTGGCGTTGCTCAGCGAGCGCCATGTCAGGACCGTGGTCGGACATGCCGCGGGTCGATCATGGCACGGGTCAGACGGGCAAGTCTTGAACTACATTTCCGATCATCTGCACCTGGACAGCAAGTGGCTAGCTGTTCCGTGTGTAGGAGCAGTTCTGGTGTTCTTTTGGATTATGAGGCGAAACCGCGGAAACTTTCCTCAATCAATGTGCTGCAATAAAAAGTGGCACAGCGAGGTCTGACTGTTGAGTGAAGTTTGGATAAAAAATAGACTGCTGGTATAATTTGAAACCCCTCAAATATTGCCTTCTAGTGCCGCCCAAGGGCATGTTTTCCAGTCTACAAAACGCCCTTTCTGTGTGAATTGATTGCAGAAGACATTCTTGATATGTGAGCGGAATGGAGAAGAATGTTTGACTAGATCTTTTGTGATAGGTCGATGATTCTTTCTACAGATTCCATTCCGGCAGCATGAGTTCGAGCATGGTAGCGTATCTAGGCGCAGAGTCGACGACTCCTTTTAATGCCCTGGAAGAGATAAGTGAACAGCCAGAAATGTGCAAGGAGTTGAGAAAAGCTTCCGCCCGTCCACCCTTCCAGGTCGTTCGCCACATAGTCATCCCGCACGTTGAGGCGCCGTTGTCCGCCTGGCCATTACCCAACCCATGTACCACATCAGTAGACTTATCCTCCGCAATTGGGTGTTGTTCTTTCGCCGACCCTAGAGTTGCTCACGAACTCAGGGGATGATGTGGCTTCACAAGCAGATATGAATAGGGGTGAAGCTACCGGATTTTAAGAAAACAAGGCCGGCAAACGTCTCGCCACCAGTCTTCAATCCATGCCTCCATGGTGCGAGCTTGTCCTTGGGCTCGATGAGGTAGATTTGGCCCTCGAATACAGCCCACAAAAGCGACCTCAAGGGGCTGGACCTTGTAAAGACTTGCGGGTTGCCATCCGAACACCATCTGTGCCATTTCGGCGGAGAGAGCGGCGGATTTCAATCCAGTGAACCAGTCCGGCCAGTTGTCGCGCTCGTAGATATAGGCATTCGCAGTTCCGTTGTAGATGCACAAGTTCCTCGCCATTGCCAGCATCCAGGTATTCGGGGGTGAGGCGTCAGGAACCCTGATACCAGCGGTCAGATCGTACCATTCACTGAACTCGCCCGCGATGCCAGCGCTTTCCAGTGCTTCAAGAATGGTCCTTCCCCTGAAGTGGACTTGACGAATGGTCCTCCCCTTGGACAAGTTACCACGCAGCTTGACCTGGGGCTAGATCTGTGTTAGCTTCAAGAAACTACAATGTGCCAGGCATGTACTCACTGGCCCCCTTATATTTCCCTGCCAGAGTCATACGGCAGTCAAAAAGGTGCGCCCACAGGCGGCAAGCTGTGAAAGAAAAAGTTAGAAGGGAAGAAGGACGACCCCCTGATGAACACCCACAGTTCCCTCAAGAAAACTGCATCTCAACCACAGCCCTCAACCACTCCGCAACAGTCCTATGCCTGAAAACCCACCACCAGCTAGGTCCCTCAGGATCCACCCGCGCCTCCCGCATCGTCACCGCCATCTTCCTCGCAACCTCGTCCACAAAGACAAGCTCCATGATCGACTCCAGGTGGCGCACCGACCGCGCCGGCAGATTCACCTGCCCCCTCTCGACAAAGTTAAAGTTGTGCATCTGCAGGCGCGTGAGGACGTGGCCCGCCACGCGGTCCGGGAACGTCCGCTGGCTCTCGTCCCACGCGCCCTCCCCACCGGCAGCGAGGTGCGCCGCGAGCCACGGTGTCTCCTGCAGGCTCTGCACGACGTCGGGGCGGAAGTTGGCCCGCAGCACCTGCAGGTGGGCTTGGCGGCGGGCGAGGGCGAGGGCGCGCGCCGCGTCGTCGGAGGCGCTGGGGCGGGTGAAGTGCCGGCGGACGTATTGGCAAACGGGACGGAGGTGAGCTTTGAGGAAGTCCCAGGGCCGCGAGACCGCGCGGCGGATCCGAGAGTATGGTGCTTGGACCGGCTGGGGCTGCGAAGCTGGTTCCATTCTTGCGGGTTTGTTCTTGGTGGTTTTGGTTGTTCGTGGTGGAGGATTTGCTGGGTTGTGGGTTGGTAGAATAGCCCCCCGATGCTGTACGCAGGAGAGTGGAAAGAAAACAGGAAAGCTGTGCCATCAGAAATTTTGTACTCATCTTGTATGAAAAGGCGTTGTCTAGGTTTTAGGAGATGAGAGAAGACGGCAAGGTGGACGAGACTTGATGACTTGACCTTCACAGGCCACCGAGCCATCTATAGCCTCGACTCTAACCAGAAGACCTGGCCTTGATCTCAGTCCAGAAACTAATCAAATCAGAAGAATGTAGAGAACGGGCCAGAGAAAGCGGCCAGATCAACATCGTGCTCTCAGCATCTGTCTCTTCGTCAGAGTGATTGGCAGAATTAGACATCATTGTCACGGTTTTGTCTTCGTGACTGACGGAGTCGACAGTATTTGAACACCAGGACAGCAGGGTTGGATATAGATAGACAAGACAAGAAACCTGACGCCAGAGAAGCCGAGTTCAACCTCTCGAAGCTGCGAACATGCTGCACGTAGTTCAGCTCAGACGCCCTGAAAATCCGTCATTGGATACCACCAAAGACTTCTCTATAAGGCCATGCTTGCAGCTTATCAAATAAAACGAACATGGCAAGCATCACAGAGAATGAGGTCGGTTCGATGTCCCATAAAAGCCGTTGGAATCTCTGGGAGGCACTGAGGTGGAAGCACTGGACGGCATCGTTATCTCCGTGATTGCCTCGAATGACAAGATAATGAGTTCCCTGCCAAAGATGAATGCACGTGAACGCTGGGGTTGACTACGGAACCCCGTGAGTATTCTACGTGTAAACCGGCTTAGATATCCTGCATATCCGCGAGCCGGATACCTCCCTTGAGAAAGACCATCCACCAAAGGCTTTCAATATGTGCTAAACTGAAAACAAAAAGGGCCAAACCCGAGAGACAGCAAAATTTCTCGTCAATAACCTCGCTCGGAGATGCAATAATCTGCAACAGCAGCTGAACAACCCAAGCACTCCGCCACACGCCACAAATGGAAGCGATTGACGGCCACGCGCGCCCATACGAATTGAGGGTGGTACTGGGCGAAGCTCAGGGCAGCTCGATTTCTTCCTCCCCGCTCTTCCTGTCCAATTGCCATCCAATCAGACCCAGCCCGGGGCAAAAGACATGCCGTCGGGAGAACAAGTTAACCAGCGCCTGTTGTCTGTCATCACTTGATGGATAAGGTGTAGGGAGGGGCCTCGCAAACAGGCGAGGCTCATCGAGAACTGAGACATCTCACACCTTTGTGGTCAAAATGAGGTGTGCGTCCTCTTCCCAAGTGCCGACTACGTTGTTCGCAGATGAGAACGGGCCAAGAACCGCGGTAATTACCACGCCGGCATCCAACCAAGGACTCTCCTCCGGCGAGCAACGTTGCAGGAATTTCAATACCCAGGGTAGGGCTGGAGCGAATTGGTAGGCTGCAAATTGTCTCAACGTTTCGTGTGTTCCATCCTGAGGCGTCCCGGAGAAGCGATTTGACAGTGAGTTCTTGGTCGGAGAGCCCCTCGCAGGCCTGTTTGTAGAGCCATCGTTGCGCTGAGATCAAGTTCCCTTGACGTTTCCGACGTTCACATATAGCCTCACGATCGAACCAAATCAACTTCATTTCCCTAGATTCGGCGAATGAGAGAGCTGAACCAGACGAGCGGCGAAAGTCTCCGGCAATAGGCTAAGGTGACAGTCTTGGTCTTCAGGGTGAACCCGATAGAGTCTTCTGGTAGATCGGAGGAAGGTCTAAACAAGGCAGGCTACCGAGTTGCCTGTGAATATTGAAGCAAATTACACTCGAATATTGCGACCAAACAAGGCACGCCGAACACCTGTTAGGCGCGACAAGACTCCAGACCATCACCTAAGAGGACGACTTCGCCCTGCGAAAAATCGGTCTGTTGACTGGCTTCAATTAACCAAGTCCGACGTCTAAGGCAGCCTGGCCATAACACCGAGTGCAACGGTCTTAGATTGCTCCACGCCCGCCCACCGATGCAACACCCCTCGTGGCAATCTTCCAGAACGATTCCAAGGCAAATGAGGTATGAAGAACCCGCGCTATGCATGCCGTTGAAGCCAGCTACACTTAGCCGTTGTTTCGAATTATCGGCGCTTTCCCCCCCCCGTGACAGTAAAAGCAAAGACGTGTCGGTGGTAAATGCGGGGATGTATGCAATAATTGTTACAGATGTCTCAGTGGCCGACTGGTTTGGGACTTTTGTACATGGCTCATATGCTTAAATCGCGAAGTTATGAGTTGCTGACAGAGTAAAGGGGGCGTGGTTGGGTTACGTCGCAGAACCGACCCAGATTTCGAGACCGGTGATTAGTCGACTCGCCGGCTTTGCAGATGGTGCATGTATCGGGATAGGACTACCTTGATAGGAGACATGGCCCCAAAGATTCAACGAGAACATGATCAAACTCGGATGATGACCAATCGGCGGCCTTTGGTTGACTGCTGATGCGGTTGCCTAACAACCGGATTGAAGCCTCGCGTGCGTCGGCGACTTGGTTCGGATGTTGCCCGCAGAACCTATGAATAATCCTTTCGAAGATCCGCATCATATACGGCAGTCCGGCCGAGATTCGGAAAAAACGTGACTATGGGCCAACAAATGTCGGGCGTGATGATTCGTCCGGCGAAAATAACATGTGTGAGATTGCTAGATTAGACTGGAACAAGTGTTATCTGGTTCCAAGCGCAGGAGGCCAAGGAGGGTGCGCCAGTCTTCCAGGTTACTGGTTCCCACCAAGTCGGCGTTTTTCCCAGAGGGTGTAGTTGCGTATTATGCGTGATGTGGCTTCAACAGGCCCCCTTTAGGCCGCAGATGCACTGTGACAGGAGCAAAGTGGTATCACAGCCCGTCATCTTGGACGCTAGGAGAAAAGCTGCAGGTCGAGGCTTCCGCGGCCGAGCGCCTCCACATGGTGTTCGCGAACTCGTCCTATCGAGGTCAGGGACGATAGTTTGGTTCATTGGAGCAAACCGATGCGGGGTCGTGTCGTGTCGTGACAAGACTCATCGCTCTCAGCTGGCGGGTTCTTTGGCTCGTCTGCGTGTCCATCTGCGCCTTCCATGTTAGCGGCGCTGGACCACGATTTGGGGCGGAGAAGGCTCATCTGCAATGTCGGATGTCATAATGCCGTCGGCTTCGTTATGGAAAATGCAGATTGCGGTACCTGAATGATGATGCCTTGAAATCTGCATCGTCACATTGGCGTGTCACCCACCACCGGTACTGTAGACTCTTCATCATCGGGGGCAGGCACACATGCCGCAAAACGCCCAGAATAGCTGGCTTCAGAAACCTGGGTGCTGTATCCTGGAGTGTCTGGTTATGGTGTTGCTTGCGGTGGGGGCGGCCATGCATGGAATCTTGTGATTGGTGGTGCAGGCGGCATTAGGAGCGGTCTTGTTGCCGTTGAGAGAAATATATGCGCGAGCAAGGCCTCTTGGGAGGTTGGACCGGACCCGAGAGTCTGTCACCAGACAGTGCGAAGAAAAGCAGCGGAGATGAGCCTGGCTAGCATGAGGCGGTAGCGAGGATGAGACGTGGCGGTGATGAGTGATGCAGTCCGGCATTCGTAGTTGAGCTGGGCAACTCGGTCTGGACCTTTGCAGGCAATCGCTGCAGATATCAGCCGGGGAGAGGTCAGACTGGTTCCCTGTCCCAGCAAGAAGAGTCGCACAAAGCAAGGGCCCGGCGTCAGGTTGCCAGATCCTGCGGAGTTTGTAGATGCAAACCGGCGGCTTTAAGGCTTATGAGATGATTATCAAGTGGCTGCCGTGTTGGATACCGAGCGGGACGCGATATTCTTGGCCGGGGGTGGCAACGCAAACGCAGGCGTTACCGCCGTGCTGGGTCGCTCATTTCAAGCTGGCGCCCTTCCTTGATGCTTTTGTACGACCGGCGGCATAAACTATGCGAGCGGGAATTCTGTGGGAAAAAGGACGAAGAGAGACGTTCGATGTGCGTGTTTTCTCGTGACTTTGGGGAGCTGGGTTTGGTGTCTCATTGGTGCGGGTGCCTCTGCTGGGGTGTAACGTAGACCTTCATGCCCGGCAATGCGGGGGGACACGGAGAATGGGCGAGTGAGGAGAGAGACAGGTTTCCGCAGAGGGCAGCCACCGAGTCGAATCGCGTGGGCGAGCAGAGAGATGCCGGATGTCGTGCGTTGGAGGCTTGGTGAAAAGCAAGCTGAGGGGTTTCGAGACACGAGTCGAGTGTGGTGAGTATCGAGGTAACCGGACAGGGTCTCGGCCGTAGCCTCGTGGGTTGGTGTCAGTCAGGCTTAGCGCCGTCAATCAAAAGGACTGTGCCTGAAAGGAACAATGGTCGGTGGCTTCAGCCGGGCGGATTCATCCATCGACGGTTGGCTTGGGACTGGTCTGGAGCGGTTCCGTTTATCGCGTGGCTTTCTGGTGAACCAACAACGAAGGACGACAGGTAGGTGGTGGTGGTTAGCATTTCCATACTAAGGAAAGGCGGCGACGACGGCGACAGTTGCGAACGGGCGAGGGCCAGTGTCAGTGCCAACCACACAGCAGTGCCCGTTCAACAATGGGCTTTGATTGACATGAGGAGGTGGTGAGTCGTCCAGGCGTCACGTCAGAGCTAGAGTAGATTGGCGGGATGACGGACCCATCGTTCAATCCGACCTTGGCGGGAAGGACCCCCAAGAACCCCTGCCTGCCCTGGCGAGCTTCACACTGGGCAATCGCTCGAGGAGGGCAGAAAGCGAAAAAAAATGACTGCCCGTGAACCAACAAGTTGCGCTAGCACAGTAGCCTGCGTGATTAGCGTGCTCTTAGCGTCTTCTCTAGCGTCTTCTGTTGGCTCCAAGTGGGTCAACGGTTGGGACACGGACGCTGGGGGTCGCGGAAGGAGGTATCAGTCCCTGTACCCAGCCAAAGTGCAACAGCACACTGTATCCCTCCATCA